AAGGCATTCCCCTCCCCCTCCCTTTCCCCCCAATTTAATCGGGAAACATTTGGACTCACTATGCTCCCCACTTTTTTTTCATTACCGATATTAATAATGCTAAAAAAAATTCTAAAAACCTTGGATCGGCCCTTGAATAATTGATATATAATTTTATACATGATACTAAAAGTGCTTCCAACCTCCAGGCCAGATAAGTACAGAGGAAAGGCTATGTGAGTTTTGTTTATTAACATTCAATTTTATGATCATTATGTACTTGTATAAGACAAAAAATTAATATGTAAATGTCAGTTAATAGTACTGTTTGTTTCAATTTAAACTTGTTATTTAAAGAAGTGAGCACTTTTATTAGAATGCACTGTAAAATAAGAAATATGTTGTAGTTGAAAAGGTACGATTTTCATGCAAAGTGAAGTTTATGCAATCTTTTTTATATGTTATGCTTAATTTCCAAAAACAGCTAATCATCGACAAACTGCAGTAATCATTAATCATATTTATTAAAGCTTACTATAAATGGCTATGAGTAGGCTTGGTTTATTTATTTCTGAAATGAAGAATTTAATTTAGCTACATGAAGGTTTTATCAGTGAAAGCATACAGTAAAAATATGATAATTTTGTCTTTATTCCATACATAATTGACATGAATCTACTATCTCATAGATGCAGCCTGTATCAAAGAGAAGGCCTTCCTACACGATTTGCCTGTACCCTATTATTTTATGTGCGAATTATACTCCTTTAAATGTCAAGGTCAGACTTGATGTATCATTGTATTATTATTTTTTATAATTCTACCTGGATAGATTATCCCGATTATGAACACCTAAAACCATAAAAATAGGAGTAAAAGTAAAATGTTGTGTTTGTGACTTGATGTAATGTGATTTTAATCTTCAGCGTTAATTACGGCAATCCATTAAAGACAGTGTTTAATGTTTCTGATTTATGAAGTAAGAGGATTTTGATACGATTGTTGATTTTTCCGTATTAAATATGACTATTTGTACCAATACACGGCTATCTCCCCTTACACTGATGTATTTTTTATTTAATTTATCCCTATACTTATATGATTTATGTATTTTAGCAAAATCAGATATCTACACAGTTTTGAATTTATACTTGTAAAGGAAATAAATCTTTTATAGTTTTATATTCAAATAAAGATAATACAAGTATCTATATATATGGTTTTGAATTAATACATATGGTTTAAAGATGAACCTGTTTTGATATATGTTTACAGTAAATTTATATTATTTTTTAATTGTCTTTTGATCTTATAATCATTGCTTCTTCTATGACGTGCTGACAAATCAGTTTATTGGGACAATGTATAATTGTAAGATCCAAACTGTAACTTAAATGAGGTAGTGTGGGACAAAATGTGGGAGGCTGTTTTTTAAGCTGACTGATTTTAAAAAGATACTCAAAGTACTTCACTTTCGTTCACTGCTAAAATTATTAATTTGTGCCTGTTTTGTTGCCAGAGTATATTAGTTTTTACACTTTTTGTTATTCCAAGGAAATAAATAAAGGGGAAGGGTTGAACATGTTCATGTGTCTTTCAAGTCAAAAACCTGGTCACTGCTTATTAAATATTTCTAATTATACCCCCGCTTTAAAAAAGTGGGGTAATGCTGTTTTATCTCTGTCTGTCCGTCCGTCCGTCCGTCCGTCCATCCGTCCTTCCGTCAGTCCCATGAATATTTTTTGTCGCATCTTTCTCAGGAACTACACTACAAGGATTTCTGAAATTTGGTTTCAGGGTTTATATAAATCAGCTATACCATGTGATGTGTTTTCAGATTCATCACTCAACAACTTCCTGTTTATCTTATACTTTTAGCGGGGCAGGGATATCATTAGTGAGCAGTAGCTCACAGAATCACTTGTTTAACTTTCACAAAATGTTGTAATATCAGGAGGGAGGGTACCAGAATGGTAAGGGTATGTCACGCTGTATAATTTGAAAGCTTCACTGCACTCTAAGAAAAATGTATAAATAACAGGAAGACAGGAAGATTTCTAGATGAAGTTTACTGATCAAATTTCTTAAGTTTGGTGGTGATTTTCCCAGATGGCAAGAATTATTGATATACCAAAATCCACCTTTTTGTTGCATTTGAACCTAGAATAATATAATTCAAATTCAGCCATACAAGCTCAGGTTAGCCTCTAGTTTTCTCTTCGTTAACAAGCATTCTCATATAGCATTTTGGTAGTGATGGCACACGATGACCTTACACCCAACTACATACATGGTATTTTGTATAATGATGATTTGCAGAAAGTTGATAATTAGAAAATAATTGGAAGCAAAGTGGTTTAGTAATCTTTTTTCCATGGGTGTTATTATATTTGACAAAGGTGAATGTATGTGTATTTGCATAACCATTGAAATACAAACTTAGGTTAAATGTTCTAATTAGGATATTCTACACTTCTGCTTTGATCCTTCAGTTTACATTAATTATTTCTCCAGACTGTTTGTGGGGTAAGCTTTCCAGCATTAAATCAGAGTTCAAGCATATATATGATTCAATGTATGGTAAAGAATAGATCTTTCAAAATTGTGATTTTGAAATACTAGTATGTGTTTTCCATTGATGCACCATAAAATTCATTTAAGGTAGTTCAAATTTCAAAGATATAGTTATAGCGAGAAAATAGTAGACAAACGACTCACATTTGACCATTCTGAGCAACATCAAATTTTATTAAAAAGTTGTTTTTGAATTTTTTATCTGCACTAAGTAGATTATTTAAGATTTCAAAATTGAATTCATGACAATTAAATCTTATAGCATCAATGCTTAATTTATTACACTTAATTAACTATGACATATCTTATATATTTTTTAATTCCATATAAGAATATCTCATATTTAATAAGACATCTCATAAATTTTAAAAATTGGTAAAAAAATCTGAAATAACACGAGATATCTTAAAAAGAAATGTTTATGAGATATCTTCTATTTTTTATGATATATCTTAAAAACTAAATAAGATATGTTGATATATGAGCTAGCTTTAAGGTTAGATACTTTGTTACATTCTTGCAAAAAACAACTATCAGAAACTGAAATATGACAGCTAGCATGCTGACGGCAAGCAACCAATGATAAGCACTGAGTTACAGGCTCCTGACATTGGTTTGGCACATGTGTGCTGAATGGGGCATGGCTTAATATGTAGTTGAGTGCTCAACCCTTTCACTAACCTGGGACAGTGTTATAACAGCAAAACATGAGAACAAACTTTGTATATTTAATGTTGGATTAAAAATGACAATTTACTCACTACCATGTTGACATGTATTGCAAATTATTTTCTCAAGTATGAAGGAGGGAAATTGATACTTCAGGCTTCTGATAAAATATGAATGAATAGAAAACTATGAATGAGTGATATACTATCTTATTTATAACTACATTTTAAATTATAAATTTATTTGAATGATAGCATAAATATAAATGAATAACACTTCTGTCTTTAAATTCTGTATCAAGACACCATTTAATCTCTTGGAGACATAACCCCAGCTTCCTGATGATATTAGATTACATGAGGGGCATAACCCTGGACTATCATATGTTCTTACTTCATTATCATATATAGTCCATATTTGAAATATGAAGGATTGACTAGACAATATATATATTAAAATTTCTAGACATAGATTGACTTTTTTTGACAAAGATGGCCTTTTTTGGTCTCATATATGTTAAATACTGTAACTTTTTTATGGTTAAAGATCAAAAGATATTGAAACACAATCATTACCCACATTTATATTCATGTTAAAGGTATATAGAAAGGCCTTAAAATGATGGTGGTGTTAATAGCCATATGAAAAAAAGATTGGATGCAATGAAGATTTTATTAGAGTTTTGACAAATCATTTAAATTAGATTTTAAAGCCATCAGATAGAGTTTATGACTTTGGTGGTGTTTTATTTAGTGAGTTTACACAACCTGTTTTCATTTGACCTTAAACCCATAATTTATTTAAACATAATAGTGTCAGCTGGGGACAAAAAGAGTTTTCAGAAAAATTATTCAAGATTTTAAAAATTGAATATGTTAAACATTAAAATATAACATTAGTGAACTGGCCACCTATGATTTCTCAAACATTAAATTTTGACCTTGTTAGTATTACCTTAAGGAAAAAGTAGAAAGATGTACTGAATGATATTTTAGATCTAGGCAAACATGATATACTTATTAGCTGAAGTTGTGCATTGAATTTGAACGATTAAATTTTCAGTGACTGCAAGTAAACAGAGATGGTCCATGTAGGGCTGAAAAGGGTCAGGCTATGAATTACCACTAGGCACTATTAATTATGTGTGCTGTAGTTTTTTTTCTCATAAATTTTTTTTCTGCTGTTACACATAATTAATATGGCTTGAACTAACGAAAGCTCCATTGGAGCTATTGTGTTTAAGAGACCTCTTTATATCAGTTTTCTCTCTTTTAATTCATCTACTTTAAGATTGGTACTTTGTGTCTTTTATCATTTTGTTGGAGCCTAATGTCAGCGGTTGTCTCATGTCATATCTAAATGTATTTTGTTATTTGGAGAATTTGGTGATGTAGGCTGATTTGAAATTGACATCGTCCTCTTCAATCGGGAAATAGTTGGTGCGTTGGATGACAATTATAAACTTACTATTGTCCTCATAGCCAGTAAATATGTGTATACTATCATATATGTCACCCTCTAAATGTCTAGTTTATTTTTGTCCTCGAGTTGCTGTCTCTAATTGACACATACCCACAACTCCTCTTAATCATCTTATGCTTTCAACTTTGGTCTAGTTGTACAAATTGTACACCTGTTGCTATTATCGTCTTGTATTTATTGTTTTTAGTGTGAATTAAATGGAACAGATATTTGACAGTTTATTTACAAATTGAACATCTGTTGATTTTTTTCTTAGATTTAATATTTATAAAGATGTCTTTATTACTTTGTTTCAGATATTACAGACATGTGACTGTTTACTCAGAGATCATTCCACAGAAGGTAAGCTAAAATGTAGTCCTATGGTAGTTTTGACCTATGCATTTGGAACCTGACGATTCATTTGTGACATCTCTTATATTGTCAGTTTATGTGGAGCAGGATCTGCTTTCCCTTCTGGAGCACCTGAGATCACCCCCAGTTTTTGGTGTGGTTGGTGTTGCTCAGTTTTTAGTTTTCTATGTTGTGTTTCAAGTACTGTTGTTTGTCTGTTGGTCTTTTTCTTTTTTTAGCCATGGTGTTGTCAGTTTATTTTTAACTTATGAGATTGAATGTCCCTTTGGTATCTTTTGCCTCTCTTTTATGCTTATAATGTAATTTTTCCCTGGTCCTGAGGGTAACCTTTACATACAAGTTTGACTGAATCCAAATTAGGGTTTTGACCCAGATTTGGGGTTTTTATTGAGCAAGGAAATATGATAGTGCAAGAAGGTCATCTGTGTTCTATGGACATTCTTGTTTGTATTTGATTTTTAGAAGTCTTTGAAACTGGAAATCATGCCTTGTTAGAGTAACTATATTTGTACAATTAAAAAGAGATAGATATAAGAAGATGTGGTATGAGTGCCAATGAGACAACTCTCCATCCAAGTCAAAATTTATAAAAGTAAACCATTATAGGTCAAAGTACGGTTTTCAACACGGATCCTTGGCTCACGCCGAACAGGAAGCTATAAAGGGCCCCAAAAATTACTAGTGTAAAACCATTCAAACGGGAAAACCAACGGTCTAATCTATATAAAAAACAAGAAACGAGAAACACTTATGAACCACATCAACAAACGACAACTACTCAACACCAGATTCCTGACTTAGGACAGGTGCAAACAATTGCAGCGGGTTTAAACATTTAAATGGTACCAAACCTTCACCCTTATCTGAAACAATAGTGTAACATCACAACATAGAAAGACAAACTATAAAATACCTGTTTAGATTATTTCTCTGAGACAGCAAGCTAAAGACACAAATAACCAAAAGACATGTCATTGAATGATGCAGTAATCAGATGCTATATTGTGTCTATTTTGAGAATGAGTCATTATGACAGTCAGATAGATTATATATTGCTTTCCAACTTGTTTTTGTGGATACATTTTTTGCATATTTAGCCCTTTGTATTACAATGTTATTTATTGATGTTTGCAATTTTCTTACTTTCATGGTGTATTCATATATTAGAACAGATGCAATATAATAATGACAATTTACATTCATGTTATTTTTCTTCTCACAAAAGTTGCAAAAATAAATCACTCACAAAAACTAGTTAGTTTACAGTATATTGACTATCTGCAATGATATCTCAGGAAAACACTTGAGTTTTACCATAGACCACGGTGATCAGTACCTTATACCCTGCACAGCAACAGATTATCAAATTGTTTACTGTTACATAGTGAGAAGACTGCCATTAAAAAGTCTGAACAAAGGGTGATATGATAAATGTGTAAGATATAAATGTTAGCATCAGTTTACTTTCTTTCTCATTTTTCCTGACTTAAATAGTTAGAAGCCTAAGTTTTAAATTGTATTATAAAGTCACTGTAAAATTTAAATGAAATGGTAATTAAAAAAGGAAAATTCACACCATAATATTTAATGTATGCTCATCTGAAGAAAAAGGAAAGTTTATGTGAGTAATATATGACCTTTAATATGGTATATATCCTATATGCGATTTGTGATAGGCTAAACAATGGAATAAGTTGAAGACAGGTTGATATAAGATGTAAATTATACCTGCTTTTAATCTCCAGGTTCTAAATTTCAGATAAATGTGAAATTACATACCTTTTGTTACTTTTTTTACATCATCTACTTTCTATTTCAGAATTATCTATGAAAAAATAAATAACTGCATCTCAAAATTAACTTAATAAACTCCCCATTGATAAATTCAATAGTTGACTAGCACTAAGGTTTTAGCTCTCTCATGCTAAAGTGATCATAGACAGGTTTGCCTTTTCATTTTTAAGCATCTTCTGGCTTTACCTAATCTTGGCCTGAGATCTTGGCTTGTAACTAGATGTTTGGAGGTTGTATATTTCACATCTGGTTTTTGGCTTTCCAGAAGGTTTATCCAGAGTTAAACATCAAATGCAGGAAATTTGGTAAAATTTCTCTCAAATCATGGCAATTTACTCTCAAATCATTTACTCTCAAATCATTACAATTTACTCTCAAATCATTGCAATTTCCTCTCAAATCATTACAATTTACTCTCAAATCATTACAATTTTCAAATCATTACAATTTACTCTCAAATCATGGCAATTTACTCTCAAATTATTGCAATTTACTCTCAAATCATTACAATTTACTCTCAAGTCATTACAATTTACTTTCAAATTATTACAATTTACTCTCAAATCATGGCAATTTCCTTTCAAATCATTACAATTTACTCTCAAATCATGGCAATTTACTTTCAAATCATTACAATTTACTCTCAAATCAAGGCAATTTCCTTTCAAATCTTTACAATTTGCTCTCAAATCATGGCAATTTACTTTCAAATCAGTGCAATTTACTCTCAAATCATTGTAATTTACCTACTCTTAAATCATTACAATTTACTCTCAAATTATGGCAGTTTACTTTCAAATCATTACAATTTACTCTCAAATCAAGGCAATTTCCTTTCAAATCATTACAATTTGCTCTCAAATCATGGCAATTTACTTTCAAATCAGTACAATTTACTCTCAAGTTATTGCAATTTACCTACTCTCAAATCATTGCAATTTCATTCAAGATAAGTTTATTTGCTTATAGCACTTAACTTATATCATTATATCTTCAAGAAAGCAAAACCTTATAAAAGATTAATTATACATAATTAAGAAAGAATACCTGTTAAAAGCCCAAACTTTCGAAAGATGAAGTGACCCTTTTAAAATATAGATGTTTTGCCAACAATGGACATTGTTTTAAGTAGGTTAATTTTGAACATGAATTTGACCAAGGTAGATATTTGTGGGTGGACATTTTTTTTTTTAACAAATTTAACTAGGTGATTTCAGGGTGGGTTTGTTATGACAATGACTCACATTATAAATCCATCATTACTAGAAAATAATTTACTACGAAAACAAACTCATTTATGTAGAAATGACAGGTCCTGATTTTATCTAAATATTATCATTTTCTGGTGATAAACTTTTCACAATAATAAGTTAACAGTAGTTGGACTTTATTGTCAAAATTTAAATGATAGCACTCCTCATTAGTAAGATCAGATGACAGTGGTACTGAATAGAAAATGGAGATCAATTATTTAGATAACTATTTTGTCAATTATTACTGACCACAATTATTATAATTTCCTATCACAAACAGAACAATTTCTTTTTTAAAGAAATAAGAATAGAAAGATTTTAAGATTACTAGTAAAGTTAGGTCATGAAAATGATGTGATCTTTGCCATTAATCTGTCAATATAAATAAGAAGATGTGGTATGAGTCGTCGTCGTCGTCGTCACCGTTAGCTTTTTACAAAAATCTTCTCCTCTGAAACCACTGGGCCAAATTTAATCAAACTTGGCCACAATCATCATTAGGGTATCTAGTTTAAAAAATGTGTCCGATGACCCTGCCAACCAACCAAGATGGCCGCCATGGCTAAAAATAGAACATAGGGGTAAAATGTAGATTTTGGCTTATATCTCTGAAACCAAAGCATTTAGAGTAAATCTGACATGGATAAAACTGATTATCAGGTCAAGATCTATCTGCCCTGAAATTTTCAGACAAATCTGACAACCTGAATTGGTAATTTTAAGGAAATTTTGCAGTTTTTGGTTATTATCTTGAATATTATTATAGATAGAGATAAACTGTAAACAGCAATAATGTTCAGCAAAGTAAGATCTACAAATAAGTTGTCATGACCAGAATTGTCTGTCGACCACTTTAGGAGTTATTGCCCTTAATAGTCAATTTTTAACAATTTTTCGTAAATTTTTGTAATCTTTTACAAAAATCTTCTTCTCTGAAACTACTGATACAAATTTAACCATACTTGGCCATAATCATTATTAGGGTATCTAGTTTAAAAAATTTGTCCGATGACCCCGCCTTCCAACCATCATGGCCAACTTAGTTAAAAATAGAACATAGGGGTAAAATGCAGTTTTTGGTTTATATCTCTGAAACTAAAGCATTTAGAGCAAATCTGACAGGTGGCAAAAATGTTCATCAGATTTAGATTTATCTGCCCTGAAATTTTCAGACAAATCCCACGACCCGTTGTTGGGTTGCTGCCCCTGAGTTAGTAATTTTACAAAAATTTTGCAGTTTTTTGTTATTATCTTAGATATCATTATAATATCTAATATCTAATACTATTAATTATGATTTTAACCTTATTTTACATGATTTCCAAAGCATCAGTAAATACAGGTGAGCGACACAGGCTCTTGAGAGCCTCTAGTTTTCGTTGCCTCCCTGCCAACTGATTCTTTGTTGAGTCAAACTGCAGACATACAATATATATACAATTACCAATAGTTCTTAACATGTTCTTGTTTCCAATAATTATATAATTATATATATATACATATTTAAAGATAGGTCATTCTTTTAAATTTAGATTTTAACTGCTTGAACCAAATTCTAACCAATGAGAAACCTTTTTATCTCAGATTTGTCAAGCAAGCACATGTTTTGATAGGCAAAAACCTTTGTTACAAAGAGTTAAATGTTGCTATCAAAAAGTCATATAGACATGCATTTATTGTCCATTATCAAGCATTTAGACAAATTTTACAGCTGTAGATATATTTACTCCTAGGTAATACATAGGTATTACTTGGTTCAACTATATTATTTTATACAATGGGAAACAAATTACTTGATTCTGAACCAAACGATCACAATAAAATTTATAAAAGTGTACATGTAGTTACCATTAAAACATAAATGATCTGTCTGGTCTGAGGGATAAAGGAAAGATTTTTGTGGCATGTGAAACTATAATAACAAATTGCTTTAATTGTTCCAGACTATTTTATGTATGTCTTCAGACTTGTTAAACTTCACAAATAAAGAAAAAAGATTTGGCAAAGTTCACAATACATGATGTACTATAATGGGGATAGAATGAGGGTTAACCCACACTAAACATTACCTTGGAAATTACCTAAAGAACTAAACATGTTGTCCCTGAAAATTACCTGCAGAACTAAACACTACCTTCACATCTGAACATGTTGTCCCTGAAAATTACCTGCAGAACTAAACATGTTATCCTTGTGAATGGTAAAAAAAATTACTTACACAACTAAACATGTTCTCCCTTGAAATGGTTAGAAATTAGCTACAAAACTAAACAGATTGTCAATGAAAATAGTAAAAATAAATTGTCTACACAACTAAACATGTCTTCCCTGAGAATGGTCTAAAAATTATGAACAGAAGTAAACAGGTTGTTCATGAAAATGGTAAAGAAAACCACCTATAGAACTGTATGAAAATAAGGAGATGTGGTATGATTGTCAATGAGACAGCTTACTATCCACCAAATATCAAATGAGGTGGATGTAAGCAATTATAGGCAATCATATGGCCTTCAACAATGAGAAAAACCCATACAGAATAGTTGGCTATAAAAGACCCCAGCATGAAAAATGTGAAACAATTCAATTGAGAAAACTAATGTCCTAAACAAGTTGTCCATGAAAATGGTAAGAAAAGCACCTACAAAACTAAACAGGCTGTCTGAGAATGGTATAAAACTACCAACAGAACACATATTAGTCATCCAAATTTTTACATGATATGCATAGTTACTAACAGATTTCCGTACTCAGTTGTGACATTGTCTGAAAAAAGTAAAATTTTCTAAACTTGTACTTCTAAGTACATGTAATTAATTAATTAATCAATTCAAGGCTCTGCATAAATTCACAAGTGCTTGTTGAAATTCAATTTTAAATTATAATGAACAAATCAACTCAGCTGGTGACTCTTTTTATGATGTTTCAATATGTATTAAGAAAAAAGATTAAATTTTTTGTAACCATTAAGAGTGTAGAACAAATTGTATAGTCCATGCAGTGGCCCACAGACATGCATCCCTTTAAATCTGTAGGATAATACATGAGTCCTGAATTAGGTTTCCAATTATTATTTCTTTTTACGATTATTAAACGAGGCATAGAATCTTCAATAGCTAATATGACTAATGTATTTTAATGAAAAAAACTGAAACATTGTCATCTGTGTAAGCCTTAATATGTTTTGTAAAACTTTAAAAGTACTTTTTTTTTGCATCAAGGAAGTAACATAACACTTTGTGGTTTTCCTTATATCTGTTGTTGATTCATCTCATCCTTGATCTTATTTTGGTCAGTATAATAGTTTTATAAAAAGATGATGAGTGCTGGGAAGGAAACTTAATTAAGGCAATTCAAATAGACATACAGCTAATCTGTGGTGTTAAATTTTTTATCTTATAATTTGACACTATAATTTGACCGTCCCAACTTCACACTTCCTAAAGATGGTTAAGGATATTGTGATTCACACTTTGATAAATATATATATATAATGTTGTCTGCACTTGGTTTCACCTCCCAAGACGTATACAAAAATTAAAGCGAATCAACACAATTATCCTATGATGATTTATCCTGTTAATAAGCTTACGGGTACCGTGCCTGCATGGTACAAGGCTTTCTATAAGCTGCTTAATACAGTATTTGTAAGGGATATAATTTGATAGAGCTGTTCTTCCATTCATCGTTATTAAATAGCAACTCTCAAATCCTGCCTTCTTTGTTAACATGTACTACCTTAGGACTGAAAATCTGTAATTCAGAAACAAGTAAATTAACAGGATTGTAACAGAATATACTCTATGTTAAATCAGTCGCGAAAGTTCAGACTCTCGACCACACACAAGTAGTTAGTCCAATTTCACATATATTCATACGCATTCAAGCTCTTCTTGCATATTAAGTGCACAACAATTAGTCTACGTGTTTCCATAAGGCAGAATTTTACTTAATCCATGAATGAAGCCAAGTACATAAGGATGTTATTTAAGAAAGTGTGATTTAAAAACAGGTTTGATTGCTAAAAAGCTTAAGTACCTACATGAAATGGAAAAATTCAATGATTTTGAAGACTTGCATGTTGTAAATTTCTGAAAGTCCAAATTTACCTGTTTCATGTAAACTTCTTCAGGAAAAATTAACCACTTAGGTCATGGCTATAAATAGATCCAGATCATGGTCAGGTAATAACTTACAAGGGGTATATGGGAATATATATAGATATCATTGGGGAAAAAATTCATTGGAGTATGTCTGGCATCTTGTCCTATACATAAAGTTATTATATTGATAAAATTGAGAATGGAAATGGGGAATGTGTCAAAGAGACAACAACCCGACCATAAAACAGACAACAGCAGAAGGTCACCAACAGGTCTTCAATGCAGCGAGAAATTCCCACACCCGGAGGCGTCCTTCAGCTGGCCCCTAAACAAATATATATACTAGTTGATAGTTATTCAAAGAGTATGCCCTTTGGAAGTAACTATTTAACTCATTATATATCATAGAAATATGAGAACACTCAACAAACTCCTGATCACCTGACTGGATTGGTTGTTGCTGATTGGTGCAGTTTTCCATAGTATCAGAGTTAAGATTTGTAATAAAAAATTGTATGCTAATTGATGAACACTTCCAATTTTCTATATTCCACGAGTCATTTTGAATGAGGTGACACACACAAAAGGCAGTTATTCAGTGGGCTCATTTCCAAATTGAATCCAATTAAAAAAAAAACATATTTTTCAAAAATCAGCATTTTCCTTGGAATTGTTGACAATGGGAAAGTTGATTTCTAACATTTTTTTGGATGGGTTGAAAGTGAACACCAAAAATCAAGAGTAAAATATTTTCCCTAGAGTTGTTCCAGAGCATGCATTATACTGAATGAAATTGAATTATAATGTTGATGTCAGGGGCAGATCCAGGGTTTGAGGAAAGTTTGGAGGAAAATTGTTGGTAATGGTAAAAATAACACTGAGCAATCAATTTTTTTTTACCATTTTATGATAATTTTTCTGATCAAAAGTTGGGGGGGGTATACAACCTATATGCCCCTCCTAAATGTGATTATATATATAAATGGAAGGCAATATTATATGATATATATTATTTCTTTATTCAGTACATTTCCATGTATATTTCAACCTAAGCTAATATTTTATAGGTAAAGACATATTACCAAGGATGTATATGTTAGATATATGTCCTTAGTATTACTAATTGATAAAAGTGTCATCACAATGTTAATATACAGATTTTAGCTTACAGGACCTCAGTGTTTTAATTTTGATGCTAATCGTATGCATTATCCTGGAATTCTGTAAACAATGCAGAAAATCCTGAAAACCATTTTGATTTGTTGAATCCATTTATTTTTAAGTCACTTTAAAAAATAATGTATTTTTGTCTTTTCAGAAATTGTGATTCCCTTCATTGTAGATAGTGATGGAAGTTTTGTCTCACATGAACTCAGTCATCATGTTCGTCATAAAAGAAGTTCAACACCATCCTCATCATCATCACCATACTTATATGTAAATATTACTGGCTTCGGTCAGACATTCCACATCGATCTTAAAGAAGAGAAAGAACTTTTAGCACCTGGATTCAAGGTGTATCATCGTCAAAATAATGTAAATTCTCACAAAGAAACGTTTGTTAGATCTCAAGAGAAACCATGGGATGAAACCCGATGTCATTTCTCTGGTAAAGTGCGATCTCATCGTGGTACTGCAGCTCTTTCAGTCTGTGATGGAATGGTAGGTTTACAATTTATGAGCTAGTGAAAAATGTAGGAATGGGATGGGACAGCAGGAATTTTTTTATCCTCAATGCTCTTCAACTTTGTAATTTTTTTTTTGCCTTTTAACTTTTTTGATTTGAGTGTCCATGATGTGTCCTTTGTAGATGAAATGCATGTCTGGCATACAAAATTATAATGGTATCTTGGTTGAGGTTTCTTTTACAATTGTTGTCAAGTGTTGAGCTATGGTAATATTACACTGCAGTAAGGTCAAATTTATTTAACAGTTTTTTTTCTACATTGATTCCATTTTAATTCAGTTGTCTGCAATATAAAGTTTTACATTTCCTTGATTATTATACTGTTTTTTTGTTTAAGTAGGAAGTGAAAAGTTTAACATTTAATCTGAGCTATGATATAACTCTAATGAGATGATTTAAAGCTTGTCATATTGTATAGAAAAATGTCTATTGCTGAAGACTATATGCTGACCTTCAAATGTTTTTGTGTTATATTGGCATGGTTGGGCTGCTGTCTCATTGACACATTACTCCACATCTTACTTTATTTATATCTGAATTTCAGATTTGTTTCTTTCCGAAAATTGTCTTCAAAAAGCAAGTTTAAAATTTGAATAAATTAGGTTAATATATGTACCATGATATTTGCTATTATAAATTATCTATAATAGTAAATATCATATATTATATAATATATGTTCCGCGTTTTAATTTTTTTCCTAAAATTGTCATCAATAAGCAAGTTAAATTTTATCTCAGTTGATTATTTACCATTTAGGAACATAAAAAGATTGTAAATTTTCTCAGTAAAAGTAAGTTTCAATAAAATTGGTTATATTAAAACAATATTGAATTTGATGATAGGTTGTAAGTAAGTATTAAATATATCAATGAGGATGTAAGGTTATGATGATACTTGATATGAGAGTAATTGTCTTATATCTTTTTCCATAGTCCTGATGTATTGAACAGTCTGAACTTAAGTCAATATCTTGATGTTAACCTATTTTTCTTTAAGTGTTTTTGTTATAGTTCATTCGTTTCGTCTTTTTCAAAGCAATAATAAATTATCATTTGAAGAATTATGGTTAATTATACTGTCAAAAATAAACTGTCTTTAAGCCAGAAATCAACTCATAAATCAGACATTATTGAAATATACACCTATGTTTTTTATTTGTTTAAAAATGACTTATGACATAGTTTAATAATAAAACACTTTTTTCTATATCGCACGTGAAATCTAACCTTTTTTTTTTCTAAAAGTGAAAATTCTTGTAAAACATACATTTCTCAACGTACAGGTGAAATAGATAGCAATCGACATGTACATCAGTATCTATATTTTCATCCCTCTGAGATATAGGTTATGTAAATACTGTCTGTGTTCTGTCTTTTTAATATCAAGAGCATACAACTGTCAAAAGATGTCAATTTTTTATTAAAGAAATGAACTATTAAGAGAGTTGACATCCCCATGAGCGAAGTTGTAATTTAGTTCATCAAATGAAAAGATTCATGTAACCTTGCACAAGGATATTTGAGGACATAAATTCAGTGTGTTGCAAATACAATCAAACCTTGAGATGATTAAACCAAAAATAACCTGTCATCTGCTAGTCCATGTCATCCCTTTTTTCCTCTTACAAATAAGGGGAGATAACTAAGAAAAAAATAGATGACAAAACAATAAAATATCTGTACAGTCTTATTATGTATATATATTTTCATAATATATATCTTAAAAAATACAAAAATATTTTACAAACTTTTCATACCAAATTTTTAATTTCGAAAGTCATAAAAGCATGACCATCACTGACCGGGTGCAATATGTTTTTGTATATTTATTATTTATTAGTTCTTTGACATATTTTAGTAAGCCACCTTTGCATGTTATAACTGATTCACATACGAATTCAAACAATGGACTATTGAATACGAAATTAAAGTGTTAGTTTTCATGATACTTCAAAAGTAAAACCTTAATTCCTGTAAAACAAGTGCTTTTTTGTTTGAATACTTGACTTACAAATATTTATCCCTTTTTCTCTTCTTGATCAATTATTATCACAAACATTTCAATCTTGAAAACCATTGAACTTCAAGATAAGAAACCTAGAATAAGACTTGAAAATACTATTTTCTAACAGTTTTATGACTTGTTTGACATTTATTGCCAAAATGTTGACCTGATATGACCTTTGATCACAGCAGGTCATCATACCTTTATCAGCCCGACCTTACTTGTCCTAATACACCTGTAGAGAAGGGGTGTGGTCATTCACTTTGGCTTTGATGTCTTCTTTTCATTAGAAAATGGGAATTAAATTGTCCATATATCTGTTTTTAATTGTTTGAAATGACATAAATATAGACAATTTAAACTGAAGGAAAATAAATGTTCTTCATTTGCCTGATTTATGAGACCACAAATTTGTTACAAAGTTTAGAAAGGTGAAGAGTTTGGGTGTTGCTGTATGTAAAAGTATTAGTAGGTTCTGATAGAATCTTATTTCAAGGGGTATACTGTCAAAAACTGTATACACTGGCATTTTAGAATTCAAAATGAGATTATTTGTAGAAACATGATTGAGGCTCTATATGTGTGAAAGCTTTACACTCAATGCTGACGTCTGTATTTCCCTATGTCCATATTTCCCTGCTAGAAAAAAAAGTTGGCAAAAGAGCTTTTTAATATTAGTTTGCCAATCAATACGAAGTTGGGAGGCAATACCAAATTTGAAGCATTGAAAAAATTCAGTGCATGAACAAGAAAGAGCAGAATTAAGAGGCTCCAGTAGGGTACCATGTTAGGTTACAAGGTCACATTAAAAACTTGCCTCACTCAGGTCACCAGGTTTAAGCAATCTGTATAGTTCCAAACTGATCTGATTCTCTGTTTTGAACATTTGTCAAGGTAACAGGTTTCTCCAAATGAGATGGTAGGTTACAAGGTCATCCACCTAACCCTCCAAAGTCAAAGGTCAGATTTGACAATGTTTGAGCCACAATAAAGCACAGAAAAACAAGAAAAGACATACACAAACAATAAATACTTAGAAATGAACATCAGATTGATTGATTGATGCTTGCAAAATATATAGTTTCAAATATTTCATGCCATTTATCTTTAAAAAAGCCACATCATAATATGTGATGTAATAGTGATTAGAGAAAGACAAAGAAGCTTTAGATCTCATTCCTTCTTCTCACTTACCATGAAATCTTCATCAGCGTTTTATCATACAGTTTGCATAAGACTTTTACAAAGATACCTTAATCAAAAAAAGTTGTTAATACCCGAAAAGGATGTATTAGTATGGGATTATGAATATGAATTTTCATGAAAGTCAGGTTTAACATTTATGTCCAAAGGACTGAGTATAGTCATAGATGGGTTTATACATCTATGGTATAGTGTAGAATTGATTGATGCTACAAACTTTAAGTATTTTCAATGGTCATTATCATTTTAAGTATAATAAGTTGGACAAAAATTATAGTCCTTTCCAAATAGATTGTAGGCACATGACTATATAGCAGACTTTTGTGATTGTTAAATAATGGGGAGTTATAAGTTCATCTCCATTTGAAAAATGAATTTTGTATGGTAAAATTACACACTTTATTAATGTGGTGCTTAACCTAAGCCAGAATAAATTGTTTTATTAAAGGTTTTCACTTGTTCCTCAAAAGGATGAAAAGCTTTCTGTGTTTTACCAAATTTTATATTAATGACCAATTAACGCCCAATAGTTCATTTTCGTAGTTAAGTTGAATGTTTTATTATAGGGCGAGGTACAGGCTTATATTAAATGTAATATGTTACTGGTAACTTTGTGAATATTAAATTCTATTGAAACCTCTAATCCTTAAATTGATTTTCTTCAAAGTGTTACTTTTTATCAAAAAACTTATCATGTACAAAATATGAAATAAATCTATCACTTCAAACAACCCATGATTGACAAGAAAATATTGAGATTAATTGTGTTATTATATTTTAAAATTTAAATGAAGAAAAAGCTTGGAATTCTAGGCTACTGTATGTGATAAAAAAATATTAGGCTAATGTCGTAAATCTGTCAGATTTCTCTTTTATTTTGTTTATAAATTATGATTGAAATGTTAAATAGACCTGTCTCATCTGGAAGGTATTCTCAGATTAGACATATTGTAAAACATGGATTGTATTGGATGTGGAATTCCTGGCCCTATATTCATTGAAAAGAAATTATGTTAATTTTTTGCAGTTAAATTGTAACTGAAAAGCCTGCTGACCATGGGAGGTTACATAATGAATTAGCAGATTAATTTGTATAACATTTGAAGGGAAGAAATACTTAATATTGTACTATGAATAAGATAAAAACCTTAAGATACACAGAGATGTATTAATTAGAAAGGTATACACAGTACAGTTTTTTAGAGAGACTATAAAATTACTTTTTTTGTCTTGTTTTAGTAGATTCTTTTAAGTTCACGCATTTATGCACTTATAGCGAAAATTTAAATGATGACATGAATAAGTGAAATTTGAGTAATCATACCTTGGGCAGATTAAGACTGATAAACTGACTTGTACAATGCCTCTCATGGGAAATAAAAGTGGTTAACTTTTTTATAGCAATCAATCTAAACTCTGATACTACCAATCTCAGAGGTTAACTGTTTTTATCATTTTGTGCATAGTGCTTATCATAAAAAAATCTTAACTTGTTTGTACATTTTTTGCTATTAGACTTAGAAAACTGTTGTCAAATTTAAAGGGAAATAACAAATATATTATGAAATAAGACAACATTGTACATCTTAGGAAGGATTGACTTCAAGATGCTGTCATACTTGTATGCAATTGTACAAATATATTCCATTCACTCCATTTCTTGTCCACACTTACTTAACCAGTCCATGTTTTAGAAATACCACCAAAGCTGCAGATTTGACTATTATTACTACTTTAGTTTGAAGTGTCATTACAGCATGATGTATGACCTTACTATCTTCCTTTGAAATAGTTTACAACAATAAATTTCCATTAATAAGGCATATAAGTATACTATTTCTACAAAGATAGGGAAATAGAGTATGATAAAAGAGGTTCTATGTACTTCTTGTTAGATCTCTCATGTGTAGAAGTTATGGTGATTCAGTGACGAATTTCAATGTGATTCTTAAACAGTCTGCATGCTATTTTAAATATATGTATATTTATGAGAATTTCAGGTTTTTTCTCCGTGGTAGATGTAAAAAGTAATGTAATGCACAAAATTTGCTTTGAAGTAAATTTTTTTGTTTTTTTTTGTTTTAAAAAAAATTGTCCCAACTCCTACACCATTTTGGGAAGAAACTTTACCACATACTCTATCTTATGAGTTCATATGTTCTACTGAAGTGAGAGGCTCTTTTTCAGCATTTACAATGTTCAGTTCAAAGGTCATTTTCATAAATATTAAATCATGTAAGTTCTTTTGAATTCAATGCATAACCTATGTTCAAATTAACTTGTAAACTTGTAAGATTTTGTATAGTAAGAACCCTATATCTTTTATCTTAGATAAGATAATAAATTATCTAAAAGTTGTTATATAATAATAAAAAGGAAGTAGAAATAGCTTCAAACACCATCAAATATGAAAAGCTATTCATTGAAACAAATGGTTTTGTATTTTGCATTGCTTAGATTTATTACTTTATATGTGTTGTAGAGTAACCTTTGAAACTATTTTTTAAGTTACAATACCTTATGGGACAAAAGGACGTATAAAAAGTACTTATTAAGTTAACAAAATTCTAGAATTTTTTTTTTAAACAATCACAATGAAAAGTGTTCATTTATTAAATCCTTGTTACATGGGAGGTAACTTGAGTTTTATAATGCCCCAACCACTAAGTGTTACCAATGATGGCCCTAAATCTGTCACTCAGTCATTCCATCATTTTAAAATGGAAGTTTTGACTTTTTTCATTATGCCTCAGCCTCACCGATCTGATTTTAGGTACAATGACTTACAGATATAGAGTTTGTGTTTTGTTCTGTTAAGTAGTTTTTGGCAGAATTACTTCCCTTGAACCTATAAAATTTCATGAATATTGTACTTGTCAAGACATTTTTGTAAAGCCTGCTGAACTGAAACTGACTCTTGGCACAAACATACATTCTGTAAGTGTATAATGATGACTTACAGAATAATTTTTTTTTGTTTCTGGTTGACTAGTTTTGGACAGAGTTATGGCCCTTAGACTTAAACCACTCAATACGTTGAGAGAAAACAAATATTTCGTCACACTTTTCTGTAGAACTACTGAAAAGAAAGACTTAATATGTGACCAGGAGCTTGACAGTGATGAGTTGTAATGTGTTTTCTGATACTTTAAACAAAGAATGGCATATTCTTATCACATCATGCAACTTCCTGTTGTCTTTATTGGGTGAAAAGGAGCTAAGGTGAATTTTTTTATCTTCAGGAAAAAAGATTTACATTTTGTTTGAAATGAGGTTCCAGTTGGAAGTTTCCCTCAAGGCAAGGTAGGGTCAACAGGTATTGTACTGTCTAAAAAAGACCATCAAAAATTAAATTGGTTAATGTGTTGGGGAAAATTTGTCATTGATATTTCAATATTATTGATACATTGTTAGGTATACTTACACTTTCTGCACATTTTTTTCAGCGAGGTATCATTAGAACAGCAGATGAAGATTACATCATAGAACCTCACAAAAGTCATAAGATCAAAGGTCACGGTCAACCTCATAAAATGTATAAAAGATCATCATTACCCCAGAAACAGTATTACGACAGCAGGTCCAGTAGACGTAGGTACATTGTTTCACTATTTATATTTGAACAATACAAAACAATAAAAGCTAATTTTCATTTTAAGATTAACAAATATAAATAATAAGACATGAAAACTTTGCAATGATACAACCAGTGAGTTTACCAAAATTATTAAATTAAGGAAGCCTTTTTGTTCTTGTTAGCCAGATGCTCAAAAGTCAAATACCCAGCAGCTAATGCTTAAAAATGTGAAAATATCTCTAAAGATTTGTTTTTTAGGCTAATTTAGCTAAAATTACAATTAAGAATATATCACCTCTCCTAAATTCGATGTTTAAAGCAAATCAGAATCAGGGACAAAAAAAACTAAAAAAAAATCTCTTGAACAGATTTGGCCCTAAAATTCATGAAATTTAAAAACTCAACACAAATAAACCACTCTACGCTTTCTGTATCTGTAACTCAATGAAATATTTAATACTTGCATTGTTGTTTAATTTTTCAGATAAAGACAATTTATATTCATCAGAATTAAATCATGATAGCAGCATTAATAAAAGATCATTGAAGTCTGAATATAACAGACATAAACGTAAAGATCATCTAGCAGACAGGACTGTGGAAACATTAGTTGTAGCTGATAAAAACTTGTACCAAAAACATGGAGATCAAAATATAACAACTTATACACTGACTTTGTTTAATATGGTGAGTAAAGTAATATTGATCTGATGTATTGAGAAAGTAAAGTGGCCAGAATTACAAGTCTTAATAAGTCTGATCAACTCTTCTTGAAATTACAGCTTTGTGATGACAAAATTGTTTGACCTAACTTATCTCTAATGTCATAAGGATCTAATGTTGATAAGTTTGATTCATAATTGTTTAGAGAACGACCATTTAACTTCAAGGGCGGGGGGTGGGGTGTTATGGTTTTTTCTAAAAAATATTCTGATCCCCAATTTGATGAAAAAAAATATTGTGGTCAAGCAGATGACAAAAAAAATTATCTGAATCCAGATTTTCCCCATACCTTTTAGTGTTAAATTTTGAAAAAAATAATTTGATTGAAAGCATCGAAAAAACTAAAAAAAAATGTTTGCACTTTGCGCGATAAATTTTTTTGACTTCGACAAAAAACCATAACCCCCCCCCCCCTTGAACTTAAATGGTTGCTCCCTAAGTCCTCTTCTGGTTTACTGGTAAATCAAGAAAAGCTATTTTTTCTATCACGAAAAACACACAAATACAATTTGGATGAATAGATCAGATTTTCATCATTTTGATATTGCAAAATATTAGAGCTCTGCAAGTGACAATATGAAGCATTTCCTAAGTGATCGCAGGGAGTATCAATATACAGAAAACCTTATAATCAGTTTATATCAGTTATCTACAAAACACATGACTTCACAATCAACAGAAGTTATCCAAAGCATGTCCTGATGAAACTTACAGATCACAGTATAGCAACAATCAATTTCATTGTTAGAGATGATTGTACAAATAAGATGTGGTATAATTGGCAATGAGACAACTCTCCGCAAGAGACCAAATTTCATAGAAGTTAACAATGGTACATTTTGCTTTTTTATTCTTTTTTCTTTTTTAGACAGTTTATATATTTTGTTTTTTACCTTCTCTACATCTTTGTATTATTAAGTAAATAAAGATAACTCTATAATAAAAAATTCCCACATATTTTGTCTATACAAAAAAAATTATAAACTTTCTGTGCTTTACACTTACACTAGATTTAGATCATTACCCTCAGTCTTCACACAGGGTTAGATACATTAACAAGACTTTTTCAGAGTTCATCTGTACTTGTGAAAAAGCAGGGAAATGGATTTCCTATATGTTGATATTGTCTAAACAGTTCTTACCCAACAAATTATAATCTCTATCTTATTTAGAATAAATACATTCTCTATGAAATTATTTATATATTGTTTATTCTAGGTTGCTGAGTTGTTCAGAGACAGGAGTCTTGGAAATAAAGTCAGTATAGTACTAGTTGGACTAATTATTCTTGAAGGAGATGAGGTAAAAAACTTACTACTGTGGAAGCATTTATTTATGTGGATACCAATTTTTGTGGATTAAGGAATAAATTGTATTTTCAATGATATTTGATTTTGTGGTTTTGTCAAAGTCTGCATACCAGCCTATAGAAAATATGAACTTTGTCAAACATTTATATTCATAGTTAACCTTGACCCAGGAAATCCCTGAAAATTTGTATCCGAATTATAATGAATCCACAGTATACAGTATGGGTTTTGCTCATTGTTGAAGACAGTACAGTGCCCTACAGTTGTTTACATCCACGTCCTTTTGTCTCTAGTGGATAGTTGTCTTATTTGCAATCATACCATATCTCCTCATTTTTAAATTGAGTGTTTTCCACATTTAAATAGATTTCATAATCATCTTCAAACTTTTGACTGCAAAATAGTATCTGTGGTCTATATTCAGCATGTATATGTACCCTCCTGCATTGATCAACTTCATGTTAGTTTAAAATACTCATATATCACATATACTTGAAATATGTGACATATGTTTGAAATATAATACAAGCAATGTATCCATTAACAAAACCAAAAGGTGTTTTAGTAATGTAAATGTCATGAAAAAATGCAAAACTTGTGTAGTTTTTCATACTATTTACTGAATTACAAAGACATCATTAATGATGTGTCACACCAATACATGCTTTTATCATAACTTTTGTTGTTCAAAGTTGTTAAAATATTACAATAAGTGGTGAAATAGGCCAGTTGCTGGAAAACATGTTGTTAATGTCATGTTTGCCTCTTTTTGGAATTGCATTTGAAAACATTTGCTGTTGCTAAAACATAAATTTTGACAAATTTATTCAAAACCTTCACACTCAGCTGCTAGGTTTTATGGAATAAAGCACATTGATGGTGACTGGCAGATTTATATCACAGGCTCTTGGGTGATCTAGTTAATTAAAATACTTATTTTTATAATGATAATTTTGAAACATGTATGATCATGTATGTATGTATATAGGCAGTATGACCAGGCTATTCTTGAACACCTCTGTAATCAGACCACTTTTGCCTTTGAAAAGTTCTACTGATATACTACATGAATGTTTTTTTTTTTTTTAAATTATGAATAATGATATCAAGAAATTTGAAGGGAATGCAACAAAAACTGTCAGATACAGTCCTCACTGCTATTTGTCTGCCATTACAAAAAAGCAAAGGCAGTTCCATTCAAATTTGATGTTTGATATATGTTTTCACCACAGTTTAAAAGTGATTGTTAAATGATGTCAATAAGTCGAGTGTTGCAAAATGTGCAGTCAAGTGTCACAGGGTCCTAAATAGTAATATGTACGTTCTATACCTCAATTTGACAAACTTTGATTTATCTTCTTATTTTGGTTAGATACACACTTTAATTGCTAGACAAGAAGTTACATTTTTCCATATTTTACAGCCAGGATTAACCATTGGATATCATGCAGATAAGACACTGAACAGTTTTTGTTCCTGGCAAGCTGTACTGGAGGGAGACAGGGGGAGACAACATGACCATGCTATACTGATGACCGGGATGGATTTGTGTTCATATAAAAACTCACCATGTGATACTCTAGGTAGCTTAAATGATAATTTTGTTTAATGTTCTATAGAGTTATGTTGCCCTGCTATTGTGTATGGAGAGACATGTAGATACTCATACTGGGAGTGCTCGTGGTCATATAAAAATTATCACTAAGTAACCATTTCATGTTAAAGAAGAAAAGAGAGAAAAATAATTTTTATATTATAACAGGAAGTAACCTTAGCTTATGTTAAAGCTAAAGTTTTAAGATAATCCAGTTGAGTCAAAATTTTTGTGTTTTGAAATAGATTTTATCTCACATATTATAGACAAACTAATCTAGTGGAAAATATGTATTGTTTTATTTATGAAGAAAAAGTATTTTGAAGTACTCTTTAATTTAGATATCATGATTATGAATTGTAAAAATTAATAAAAAGAAGATGTGGTATGATTGCCAATGAGACAGCTCTTAACCAGAGACCAGATTACATAGAAGTTAACAACTATCAGTCAACAATGAGCAAACCCATACCCCAAAGTCAGCTATAAAAGGCCCTGAAATGACAAATGTAAAACAATTCAAACGAGAAAACTAACGGTCTGATTTATGTACAAAACAATGAACAAAAAACAAATATGATATACAGCAACAAACGACAATCACTGAATTATAGGCTCCTGAAACAAACTATAAAATCATTTGTTTAACTCATCAGATCAATACAAAGCAGAAAAATATCTAACAAAAACACAGACTGGATGTGGCAAGGTATTTATAAATCCCCACAACAAATAAGACACTAAGTACAAATCTGAGAGTACTCTCAGTTATTGACAGCTAGTTCAAAGCTAATAACAACTAATAAAGAAATCATGCATCTAAGACTAAAATATCAACCAGTACCTATCCAACATCCAATGGATTTAGTTTGTCCAATTTAGTTTATTTTCTTTGTTATATAAATATGCATAAACGGATTCACTTGGTAAAAAACCAATGAGGCAGACACTCAACAACACAAATCAACCAAAATAGATATTAAAAAGGTCACCATATGGTCTAAAATGATAAACACCCATACCATGTGACAAGCTAAATATCTTGATTTAATAAATGTTTGTTTCTGTAGGGTTTGCACCAATAGAAGGAATGTGTAACAGAGTGAGAAGTTGTACTATTAATGAAGACACAGGTCTGACAACAGCATTTACTATAGCTCATGAGATGGGACACAAGTAAGTAGATAAACACAGTGAATTGCTAGAGTATTGTAAGGCTGATGTTTTTAAATTTTGTAGCATGATTGTCTTAGATATGAAAGGTTATAATCTCTAGTTTTATTGAGCCACAAACTTTTAAATTGTTGACTGCCACTTCTCATTGGGCATTAGTCATTCTTATTATATTTTTTCTTCATACATCTTGAATTTTTCTAGGAATGTAAAAAATTGGCTCCATTTTCAAATCGTGAAATAACTTGTAACACTATAGAAAGGGACAAACCACTCACCAATTGTGACCATATTTCATAGTAGCATAGAGTATAAAACAATTATTTTTTTACTCTCCACCCTACTACGGCCTAGTTGGGCACATGACTCCATACAACACAAAATTTTGCCATGTTATATGATTTGTTTTGGAAATGACTGTAATTTCCGTAATTAACCACAGATAATAGCTCTACCGCCAAAAGTGAAAAAAGATATGATAAATCAACATTTTGGACAATTTCACAGTAGCATTTAGTACAAAAACTTCCTTAACTGGTGTTGAATAATATAGATGATGTTGGGTAAACATTAATAAGACAGCAACCCATTAATACAAAACACTAACAGACATATGAAGGTCAACATAAGTCTGAAACATTTATAGACAGGTAGTTATACAAGCGACCTCAATCTAAAAAAGTTCATTGTAAAAATGTATGAAGTGTTAATTTAATTGTTTTCAGTTTTGGAATGTTCCATGATGGAGAGGGTAACTACTGTTCACAGTCCGCTGGTAAATTGATGTCACCTACCCTTGTTAGTAAAGATGGATTGTTCCAATGGTCAATATGTAGTAAAGCCTACCTTATGAGATTCTTGAAGTTAGTTTTCAGCATAAATCTATAGCGCAATTATTTATTTACATTTTACTGGCAAGTTTTTTACCCCAAGATGGTACTCAGAATAGAAACATGTACGGCCTCTGATTGGATGATACAGGATTGGAATTACTTTTAATCGAAAGCTTATCTTATTAGGTTAAAAAAATCCAGAAAATCAAATTCATATTTTACAAAGTATAGAAAATATTTTCAATATCTGCACGTCAGAGCCATTAAAAATGTGCCTTTTTCATTAAGCGAAAAAAATAGATGATGTTTTTCAACTGCATTTTAAGTCAATTTTTGCCGCATAATCATATAGATATTAGTCTGACTGGTTAATTCTAATGAGGGTCGGTGAAAACATTGAGAAAAATGTATCAGCCAAAACGTTCTAAAAGTACAACACGGATATCCAAAGCTGTCATTGAGATATTATTTTCTCCTTTGACAGAAATTAAATAACAAACCATACGTTTATACAATCTATTTTTTTTTTCAAGCAATCAATCCTAATGATCTCATTTAAAAAAAACTGTCAAGGTTTTAAAATGAAAATTTTTGAAAGTTGTGTTAATCCAAGTAAAGTTTCCAGAATCAAGGAGTTTCTGAGCAATAAAGATTTGGATATATAATATTTATTTCAATAAAACAAAAATATTGATATGATAAGTTTCAAGCAAATTTGTATGAATAAAAGGAGATGTGGGGTAAATGTCAATTAGACAGCAACCCAATGACACAAACAAGGAAAGGCCAAATATATGTATGTATGGTTACATATACATGTATATGTATAATGTGTACTAGTTAACTTATATAGTATTTATTAAGGACTTCCTACATCAGTGCTCTGTCTTTTATGGATGTATAACTATTACAATAGCCATTCAGAAAGCAATGAGAAAACAATTACTGTAAATTCAGGAAATTCTAAAAATGTTTTTGATATTGTAAAAATTGTGACAGGATAGGTTTCTCAAAAAATAAAAACTGGCATTTTAAATTTTAGTAGCACTGTTTGTATACCAGATTTCTTGAAACTGCAACTAATTATTTTCGTATTTATGTCCATTGTTCAACCATCACAATAATAAATACACACACAAATGAGTAGGCCCAGTAAGACCCCTTTTTGACCCCAAAATATAGCATTTCAAAAATTTGTTAAAAATGTAAACTTTTAGCTATTTATTGGAAAGTAAAATACTTTTATCACATAAATATGGGCTGTTTTTGTCTAAAATGGAAGTGTCCACACTTGTGTTCACTCTTAATATTCAAATATATGTTGTATTTGAAGATGATACATAACATATATAAAGGTTGAAACTGAACACAAATGCGGCCACTTCCATTTTGGACAAAAACCATCTGAAAAGTGACGTTTTGTAGCATATTTGATAGATTTTTCATATTCAAGTCTGAATTTAGGGGTCTTTAATGACCAAATCAGTTCAAATCTTTTACATAGACTAATTGAATCGACTGAAGAAGACACTTAAGTGTTTAAAAAATGTAAAAAATGTTACATCAGATGTACTTCAAATTTGAGGCCAAAATAAGCCCTTACCAGACCTTCTCCTTTCTAATTTTACAGTATATACCACAAAACACTTAGGAAATGTTAACAGCTTGTTCTAACATTTGAAATGGAAACTTTTTTTTCAGTACACCACAAGCACAGTGTTTGTCTAACCATTCTAAGAATGTATCAGAGTTATCTTTTCCTGACAAGTTACCAGGAGAGTTGTATGATGCTGATATGCAATGTAAATGGCAGTTTGGGGATAAAGCCAAGCTTTGTGGATACGATTTTGGAAAGGTTTGTAGTCGTTAGTAATTTAATTGAATACTCTATTTACTGTATGAATAAAATGAGATGTGTACATTAATCAATGAAGCAGCAACCAAACACATATATAACCAATCGAAAAAGCAACATACAGTCTTCAGTAAAATGTATCTACAGTAGTGGTCAAAAATAGGTCTACTCTCCCATAGACAAATTATGTATCAAATAATGTTTGTTATGAAGGTACCAGCTTGATATATTGACTATTCAGTTTCAACTGAAATTAGGAATAAAACTAAGGTTCAGGGTATCAAAACAATGAAGGTTTGGCAACTAAACAGTCCCACTGACCTAAGACCACAGTACCTCTGACCTAAGACCACAGTCCCTCTGACCTAAGACCACAGTCACACTGACCTAAGACTACAGTCCCACTGACCTAAGACCACAGTCCCTCTGACCTAAGACCACAGTTCCACAAAGCCTTATTTTCATTAGAGAAAAGATGGCTTCCAAAGTGTGGGATAACAGTAGTCACAACCAATAAATTCAGTAGACTGCTTTGAACATTATTCCTTTAGTCCTCTAGTTCAGTGCCAATAATAAAACAAAATTTAACAGTACTACTACTACAGGAGTGTTTGGCAACCTTGACTACACAGGATGGTATGGCATGGCATTACACTGTTAATAAATACTTTGGAACACATAAAGTTAAAATTGATAATTAAATATTTCCAATTCTTGTTTTCCTTACTAAAACACAGTGGATAAAATGATAATTATATTGATTTTATGAGAAAAAAAAATTGTGTACTGTATTTATAATTCAGGACATATGTAAATCCCTGTGGTGTTTCAGAGGAAGACAACGATGTGAGACCAAGTTTTTACCAGCAGCTGAAGGAACATCTTGTGGTCATGGTAGGGTAGGTAGGCAATATTTGTTATTTTACTATTTTTTTTTCAAATCATGTTGTCAATGAATGTTTATTATTTGTCTTATCTCTGACTACTAAACTATTATTTTACTCATTTAAAAAAAGATTATAATTAGAATTCAATTTTATGTCTTCCTTTCCTTTGTATCACTGTAAAAATAGATTTACTGGAAAGTGCTTGTATTTTATTCTTTACTACAAATTCATCATCAAGAAAGACTTAGTCATATGCATTTATTTGCTTTGTTTTAAGTAAGCAATTGATGAAAATAAAATGTAAGAAAAGAAAGTAACCAGCTCTTTATTGTAGTGGTAGCATGCTTGCCTTGAATGTGTGAGGTCTTGGGTATAATCACATGACATGTCTAACCAATAGCTTTAAAATTTGTAAATGCTGCTACTATTTAAGGCACATAATAAGATTAATTTTTGCTGAACTTATTTTCTGTTGTTTTAAAGTATTTTTATTACAGTTGTAAGTTTGAGTGATTTTTCATATATCAAAGGTTAGACAAATGCAAAAATAATCTTATATAAGGTGTTTGTCAAGATGTATATCATTTGTCATATAGAATATAAAGTATATACTCTTGTTTGTTTTCAGTGGTGTCGCCAAGGTGCATGTGTAAAGTTTGGACAACATGGGCCCAGTCCTGTAGATGGTGGGTGGTCAGAATGGTCAACATGGTCAGAATGCTCTCGTTCTTGTGGTGGTGGCGTTACCAAGAGAGAGAGACAATGTAACAAGCCATTGTAAGTATGTAAACATCCTGCTCCAATGACTTGGAGGGAGAAGTAGAACCGGTAGGTTTAGGTAATAGTGAATTAGCTCTTTTTTCAATTACCTTCTTTATGTCAAGTAAAATAAAGGATCTCTCATAAATAAGCTTACACAATAATACAATGGTGATCAGCTTTTTTAAGGTTATGTTTAGTTTTTATGTGGTAACAAAATTTGAATAACATATAATTTTTTAATACAAAATGTAATAACAAACTTAAATGCCTGTCCCAAGTGAGGAGCCTGTAGTTCCATGGTTGTCGTTGTTGCTGTATATCATATTTGTTTTTTACATCAATCAGGCCTTTAGTTTTCACGTTTGAAAAGTTTACATTTGTCATTTTGGGGCATGTTATAGCTTACTATGCAGTATTGGTTTTGGTCATTGTTGAAGGCCATATAGTGACATATAGTTGTTAACTTCTATGACATTTAGTCTCTGGTGGAGTGTTGTCTCATTGGCAATCATACAACATCTTCTTATTTTTATGATTTTGATATTTTTCAGACCTCAGTATGGTGGTATGCCCTGTCAAGGAGATGATAAAGTTTACAAAATGTGTAATATAAAGGTATGTATTGCTTTGGATGGTTACAGAGATCTGATTGTTACTGTATTGATATCCTTTAACTTGTAGAACAGGGTTTAACAGCACCCATCCATAATACAACTTCTAATTATTTTTAATGTAGGAGCATTAACATACAAAGCTGATTTTTTGTCGAGCCTGCGACTTTTGTCGCAGAAAGCTCGACATAGGGATAGTGATCCTGGTGGCGGCGGCGTTAGCTAACTTCTTAAAAGCTTTATATTTTAGAAGGTGGAAGACCTGGATGCTTCATACTTTGTATATGGATGCCTCATGTTACGAAGTTTCCGTCAGTCACATGTCCAATGTCCTTGACCTCATTTTCATGGTTCAGTGACTACTTGAAAAAAAAGTTAACATTTTTTGTAATGTTAAATTCTCTCTTATTATAAGTAGCAGGATAACTATATTTGGTATGTGCGTACCTTGCAAGGTCCTCATGCCCGTCAGACAGTTTTCACTTGACCTCGACCTCATTTCATGGATCAGTGAACAAGGTTAAGTTTTGGTGGTCAAGTCCATATCTCAGATACTATAAGCAATAGGTCTAGTATATTCGGTGTATGGAAGGACTGTAAGGTGTACATGTCCAACTGGCAGGTGTCATTTGACCTTGACCTCATTTTCATGGTTCAGTGGTTATAGTTAAGTTTTTGTGTTTTGGTCTGTTTTTCTTATACTGTATGCAATAGGTCTACTATATTTGGTGTATGGAATGATTGTAAGGTGTACATGTCTAGCTGGCAGGTGTCATCTGACCTTGACCTGGTTTTCATGGTTCAGTGGTCAAAGTTAAGTTTTTGAGTTTTGGCCTTTTTTTCTAATACTATATGCAATAGGTCAACTATATTTGGTGTATGGAAATATTTTATGATCTATATGTCAGTCGCGCAGGTTTTATATGACCTTGACCTCATTTTCACGGTTCATTGCTCAGTGTTAAGTTTTTGTGTTTTGGTCTGTTTTTCTAATACTATATGCAATAGGTCAACTATATTTGGTGTATGGAAATATTTTATGATCTATATGTCAGTCGCGCAGGTTTTATATGACCTTGACCTCATTTTCACGGTTCATTGCTCAGTGTTAAGTTTTTGTGTTTTGGTCTGTTTTTCTTAAACCTATAAGCAATAGGTCAACTATATTTGTTATATGGAAGAATTGTTAAACTGTACATGTCTGCCTGGCATGGTTCATCTGACCTTGACCTCATTTTCATGGTTCATTGGTCAGTGTTTAGTTTTCTTGGTTAATGTTAAGTTTATGTGACAGTTGTAATAAAGCTTTATATTTAGGACTATCAACATAATATCAATGATTAGTAAAGAAGGCGAGACATTTCAGCGTGTGTACTCTTGTTCTGTCTTGAAATTAGGCTTTTGATACTTTGTTGATGTGATATGTTATTGATTTGTTATAGAACCTGCAAATTTTCAAGGCCTTAAAATGGTATGATGTTGTCGTCATCGTCATCTTCCGAAGACATTTGGTTTCCAGACAATAACTTGAGTATAAGTGAATGGACCTCTATGAAATTGCACCACAAGGTTCCATACCACAACAGGAAGGCTTGGGTTATTGCCCTAAATGATTAGGAATTGGGGGCCAAAAACAAGCATTTTTTTTCGAGACAATAACTTGTGTATAAGTATATGGATCTCTATGAAATTATACCACAAGGTTCAATACCTCAAAAGGAAGGTTGGGATTGATTTTGGGGGTTATGGTTTAGGAAAAAGGGGCCAAAAACAATACTTTTCAATGGGGTTTATTTTAAAGTCTTGAATTATTGGGGTTCTTTGAACTTTGTTCTTTTAACCATGTATTTAGATTTTTAATTCTGGGCCCTGTTTCCAAGTTGGTCCACATTGAGGTCCAAAGTGTCCAAAGAGTCCAAAATTAAACATTAAAAATGAGAATGGAAACGTTTGATTTCAACAAAAATTGAATTCTTGGGGTTCTTTGATATGCTGAATCCAACCGTGTATTTAGATTTGGATTTTGGGCCCGGTTTTAAAATTGGTCTACAGGGTCAAAAATTCAACTTAGTTTGATTTTAACAAAAATTGAATTCTTGGAGTTCTTTGATATGCTGAATCTAACCATGTATTTAGCTTTTGGATTTTGGGCCCGGTTTTAAAACTGGTCTACATTAAGATCCAAAGGGTCAAAAATTAAAATTAGTTTGATTTTAACAAAAATTGAATTCTTGGAGTTCTTTGATATGCTGAATCTAACCATGTATTTAGCTTTTGGATTTTGGGCCCGGTTTTAAAACTGGTCTACATTAAGATCCAAAGGGTCAAAAATTAAAATTAGTTTGATTTTAACAAAAATTGAATTCTTGGAGTTCTTTGATATGCTGAATCTAACCGTGTATTTAGCTTTTGGATTTTGGGCCCGGTTTTAAAACTGGTCTACATTAAGATCCAAAGGGTCAAAAATTAAAATTAGTTTGATTTTAGCAAAAATTGAATTCTTGGGGTTCTTTGATATGCTGAATCTAAACTTGTATTTAGCTTTTTAATTTTAGGCCCAGTTTTCAAGTAGGTCTAAATCGGAGTCCAAATTAACTTGATTTCAACAAAAATTGAATATATGGGGTTCTTTGATATGCTGAATCTTATAATTATATTTTTATTTTTTATATTATAGGTGTGTCCTAATGGTGATGGTGACTTTTATGATGTACAATGTACATCTTATAACAAAGAACCTTACCGAGGATGGTACCTCAAATGGAAACCTAATCATAAACTGTACGACTGTAAGTAATCATAAACTGTACGACTCTAAGTAATCATAAACTGTATGACTGTAAGTTAAATCATAAACTGATACAAAATATAATTCTACATTTTTTATTACATTTTTTTAAACCTCTTTCAAGATGAAAAAAAAAGCCAGAAATCAATTTAATTTTTTGGTTCGGATCTAAAAAAATTGTGGTACTGGATGAGATTTTAGGAATTTATATTTTATGGCCTTAGGATTTTTTAAAGAATTACATTTGCTTATTTCTTGCATATAAAAATTGTTCTGTTTTTTTTTCTCCAGTTAATGAACCATGTATTCTCCATTGCTATGCTGAAACCTATAGTTATGTGTTCAACATCAAACATACTGCTGTTGATGGTATGAAGTGCATGGACAAAAACAACCTATGTATTAATGGTGTGTGTAAGGTAAGCACAAGACATAGAAAATCCATTCCATCATACTGAGATATAGATATTGTTGATGAATAGAAAGGCATGTGTGGTAGAAATTAATCTAACAAATGAAAACATCAACATCATATTTTCTACATTATTTTAGCACCAATCCTTTGCTTTTTTTACTTAAAAATTAGGTTACCGGTACCCTTTTATAATAATTCGACATCTGTGCAAATTATGATTTGACCGTAAGTTATTGTTAATTCAGACATTATAACAATGTTTCAATTAGTGCAAAAACTATGACAGGACATTCATCCCAGTAATGACAATAGAGTTTTTACTTATCAAAATATAAAGAGATGTGGTACGACTGCCAATGAGATAACTATCCACCATGTTCCAAAGGACATGTATATAAGTAACTATAGGTAACCATATGATTCAACAATGAGCATAACCCATGTTTGTGATGAGCCCTTTTCTGTTGTTAGGTGCTTTTTTATTAGATTTTATTTCTCTTACATTACAGAGTGTGGCAAATTAAATTCAATAACAAATGTACACAATTGTTTTTGAAAATACAGAAGTTGATGTAGGGGAGATAACAAAGTTATTGCATTAACATTTAGATTGCATTTTGGGCATATTAATGTATCAAATGATGTTTGTGAAGTGTGAATTGGCAATTGGCAATGACATATTAAATGTTTTATATTCAGCCAATAGGATGTGACTGGATTGTTGGTTCTAATGCCTCTAATGATATCTGTGGAGTATGTAGGGGAGATAACTCTACCTGTAGAATATTAAGTGGTGAATATACAGAACAACCCAAATTAAACAGTAAGTAAATATCAAATTTACACTAGTCAACTGTAACTTTATTTTGATGCTACCTTAATTTTGAAGTAAAAATTCAGTTGGAATATAGGCTATTATCAATGCCAGTTGAAGTAAGATGACTTCAGCAGAATTCTATGATTCAGTGTTTGCCTAGTGTGTTTTAAATCATACAGCTTAGAAATTTCAAAGGAATGGCAAAAAAAATCAATATTATGAAATATCTACCTCCCTTATTAAGATGTTAAAATTGAATAGTATATATGTCTATCAATAATTAAGAAATTACTTATTTGTGACATATTCGTAATATTTTAAACTGTAATGAAGAGATCTAACAAACCAGACAATTTTTAGATTTTAATAAGCAAGGTCAAGCACAACTCAACTTAAAAAACATGCAGTTTTACTTTTATTAGTTTGTCAATTGTAATATCATATTTCCTTACATTTTCTCCATATATATGTATGTTGCTAGTTCCCTCAGATCTTGATACAATTTTCAGATCATCAGAAAAGATCATTTGTAAACATATGGTCTAAAATTATAAGAGGAACAGATTATTAACCAAATTCATTAAGGTGGTACCCAACACCTTGACTAATATTAATTTGGCTCGTTTAATTTTCCTAAAATTTTGACATAATGTTTACTTTGACCCATTGACAAAAATATAAAAATTTCAAATAATTTGAACCAACCACTTTATCAGAAAAATTTCACTGGTTATATAGCAGTTTGACAAACTAATTTTGATCATTGAGAAGCTTAATATTTCCTTAACAATACAACGTAATTAAAACGTTTAGCTGATTTTTACAGAGTTATCTCCCTGTAGTGTTAGGTACCACCTTAAATTCATCATTTCTTCACTTTTGACTGTTGAATTTCAAATATTTAAAGCAATAAGCAAGCTTTCCTTTGGTTATATGTACAGGCACATGTCAAGTAATAGTCTTTTATGAAGGAATGTTGGAACTCTTTAGATTCAGTTTTAGAACCTATATTAGTACTGATCTTTATTGTTAAATATATCATTTGTTTTGTTGTATTTGACAAAAATATGCAACATTTTGGTAGAAAAATGTTAACTTCACTCAATTTGATATTTTCCAGCATATTTTCCAATAGCTGTATTACCTAAGACAGCCAGATCCATAAAAATTAAAGAAAATGCCTTATCATCAAACTACCTTGCCATACGTGACATATTTGGTAAATATTTACTGAATGGTGAACATCGTGTTGCTTGGCCTGGTGAATATAAGATAGGAGGAGCTAAATTTTACTACAGTCGACCATACAATGAACCAGAAACATTGACATGTGATGGACCACTTACAGAAGATTTAGTTTTAGAGGTAAAACATTTTACAAGAATTGCAAAGATCAGTCACTCACAAATATTTTTGTAGTAGTGTTGTAAGAAGCTGATAATATGTAGTGTGTTGATTCAGCTATATGGCTAGGACAAAGAAATTTCATATTGCCTGAAGTGTATGCTATTTTATCTTACCTCCTATACATTTCTAGGAATATGATTGGTTAAAAGCAACTGTGTGGAGACCGTGTATATTCCATATTAGGTTAGTAGGCGGGGCTTATATCAATACACGGTTAGTAGTGGTGTTACATCCCTTTATTAAAACAACACGGTGTTGAGGAAAAATCTTAAAAAGAAATTGATGATGAACGATTGAAATAAATTCTTAAAATACATTTAAAGCTAACAAGTTGTTATTGTATTGTTGGCATTTGTTTTTGTATGACCAATGGAAGTAGGTTCTTAATACTAACGGTATTGAAGACTTGATCACTTTGATAAGCCACTAGTCTAAATACCACATGTTAAGATAGCTGGTAAGATAAATTCGTTACATAGTGTGCTAGTGACCTAATACGATATATATGGGGTCAGTAAATTCCATATGGGGATTCCAGCTTCGCTCTCACCCCATATGGAATTTACTGACCCCATATATATTGTATTAGGTCACTAGCACACTATGTAACTAATAATGACCATTATTTTTAAAAGATATTTAGACACATTTCAAAATATTGCAAGAAGAAATTTTAACAATATACCATGTGATCAAGGTTTATGCTGGAGAATGACCAAGATGAATAGTTGCAAACCTTTACCTTACTTTACTTTTTAAGTAGCTCAAAGCAAAGTTAAATTTGCCTCTTCATTTTGAATAGTTGCTGAGATAAAAAAAAAAAAAAAAGGTGTATGTACGGTGGATAGTTGTCTTGTTGACAATTATACCATGTCTCCTTATTTTCTTATAAATAAAGAAGATTTTTGATAACAAGTTAAACAGAAATGTTTTATGATTTTATCTTATTGAAAACCTTTTCAGCTTAAGTACTTGAGTGTTTTCATAGTTAATAATTGTCTTTTTTAAATGTAAATGCAATGATGATAAATTGGTAGAAAATAAAACACAATGTCTGCCTCATATTTCATTACATCATAATTATGATCTATTTATCATGTTTATATTTAATTCTATAGATTCTAGTACAAGACAAAAATCCTGGGATAAGTTATGAATATGCATTACCTATAGATCAACATGAGAAGTTAACCACAAAAAGATCTGATATGTATTCTTGGAGTATATCTGTGACAGCATGCTCAGAGCCTTGTGCAGGAGGTAGGAAGATTTTTAGGTTCTTGCAAAAGTCTATAGTGAAGATATCTTCCTTAAGCATTTCAAAATTTGTGTATTTTTCTTAAAGGAAGTGTAGCAAATAGATGGCTAAACCATGGAATTTCTCTAGCTTAAAGTAAAACATATGAATTATCACAATTTTCTGTTTTTAAAACTATAGCTATAGAAAAAAACTCATCATAGATACCAGGCTTCAAATTTTGTATGCTAGATGTGCATTTTGGTCTACAAAAGACTCATCAGTGAAGCTTGAACCAAAAAAGTTAAAAGGCCATATAAAGTATGAAGGAAAAGCATTGAGGACACAAAATATAGAAAGATTTTGCCAAATACAGCTAACTTAATCCATTCCTAGGATAGAAAATTTGTAGTATTTTAAAAAATTCAAAGTTTTGTTAACAGTTAATTTATAACTATGACCATATTAATGATAATTCATGTCAACACAGAAGTGCTGACTACTGGGCTGGTAATACCCTTTGGGAGGAAACTTCCACCAAAACAAGGAAATTTGAGAAACACTATGAAATGTTCAATTTTCTTCATCATTGTTCCATAAAAAATTGCAATCTGTGATATTTTTTTTTATTTTCTGAACTACAAATGGACTTTTACATTAGTAATTGAAGTTAAATTCTGATCATTTAAGGTATACTGTGGATTCATTTATTTTCGTGGGTATCAATTTTTTGTGGATAGAGAAAAAAAGACGTTTCGTGGTATACATAAATTCGTGGATCGCTGATTACAAAAAAAAAAATCAGATACGTAAATTCGAGGATCGCTGATTACAAAAAAAAAAAAAATCAGATACGTAATTCGTGGATTTCTTTTTGATTTTGAAAATCATATAACCTTCTTGGTTTGATCAATAAAAAAACAAATAAAAAAATAGGAATTCATTGAAAAAGTTTTGAATTGTCCAAATCCTAGCTTGGTCATTCTAGGTTAAAGTGTTCATTGAAAACTTCTATTACAATAATGGGCAGAGACAAATTATTTGTTTGTTTTACAATTTATAAATTCTTGTCGGAATTTTATAAGGCATTCAAAACTCTTTGATTGAAAGCTCATTTCCCTAATCACGATATAATTAACAGTCATATAAGTTAAAGGTGTGAAAATAAATGTTCCTGTCATAAACAATATTACCTACGGGCAATATCCCGTACTTAATCCTATTGATTTTTAATCACCAGTAAACTAAACTATGACACGGTAATAAACAACTTGCAGTTATTTTTCTTGAACAGTTTTAATCAATTTTAAAAAGTAAATTATCACTGATATTCAATATATTTATTATTGATTTTATCAAAATACTTGTATCTTATTTCAATAAAAACACGTGTTATGTTAAAATGTTTATCGCTAGTCAACACTATACTAGAACTGTATAACATAACCGGAAATAAACATCCAACTCCATACACATTTCTCGGGATTATTCTTTGTTGAATTCTTAAATTCGTGGTTCGCTGTGACCCACAAAACCTACGAATAAAAATAACCACAATAGTAAATGTTTTTGGGTCTTGCATTCTACATTGGTGTTTTAATATACATTTCACTGATATAAGTAACAAACAATTTACATTGTATATAAGTCTTATATATAAAAAAAACTTTTTGTGTTTTTTTTTTACTTGCCTCATACTTTTTAACAATATATATTTGTAGGTAGTAAAACAGTGTCAGCTTTTTGTCGTAGAAACCATTATGAAGAAGTTGACCCAGCATACTGTGATTCCAAGTCCAAACCAGAGACTGGAATCTTCTCATGTAACCAGAATCCTTGTCCTCCAAGGTTGGTATCCAATAAAACAGGGACCAAGAAAATAAGGTTCTACATTGTAAAAGACAGTATAACTCGTTGAAAGCTGTACTCTTACCTGCAGTTGTTCACTCACTTGTCCTTTGGGTTTTGTTGGATAGTTGTCTCAATTGCAAATTTTTATACATCCTTGGCTTTCAAATATTCGACTTTGAGCGTTCCTGATGAAGGTAAATCCAGAAAAGTGCTTCGGATGCATGAAATTTTTAATGTGTTGTTTTCAATTTTTTTGCAGTCATACCACATCTCCTTATTTCTGAATTAAAAAATTGAAAAACAAAACCACTTCAGTTCATTGCTTTTCAATACAATAGCTTTATAAAGGATTTTAATGGCATATATGACATGTATGATATCTTCAGCATTGTCAATGTCATAAAAATATTACCTGAAAAGAAAAAAAGTTCAGCAGCTCTTTTCTTATAATTCTTTTTCAGTAAAATTGATCAAAAGTATAGTAAAATGAATTATATCAGAAATAAAGTACAAGTATATTTGCAAACTACAAAGCTTAACTACACTTCATCGACACTATAATAAATGTTGGATCCCTAAATTTAAAGTTTAAGATATCATCTTAGATATTGTTATTATGCTTCTATACACCTTATCGCTATTCCCGCTTGACCCGAGAATCTGTCCCGCTCGAACTTTTGACGTCATACAACAATCACTTTTCCATTGTGGCGTCAGACATTTTCTATTATGACGTCAAAATTTTACGGGAACTTGTGTGATGTCCAGTAATGGTGGACAAATAGCGATAAGGTGTATTATAATGGTGTCTTAAAATCTCAGTTACCTACAAAACAAAACAAAACCTCCCTAAAATGTAAATTGAAACATAACATATGGTAACTGACTGATTATAATGGTCAAACTATGGAATCTCATATGGAACAATTGATAAGGCAAATGACCCAAGAATCACACAATACTTTTATGGGTATATTTTCAGATGGGTGCCAGAAGGATGGAGAGAGTGTACCAAGAAATGTGGAGGTGGTAAACAGAAGAGAAAGATCATGTGTCGGCAGAAAAACTCAATGTCAATTGATAAGGCTGTCAAGAAAAAATTCTGTAGAAATTTACCTAAACCAATTAAAAAGAGGCCTTGCAACAGTCATGCTTGTCCTCCTAGATGGTTTAAAGGCAAATGGTCAAAGGTAATATGGCATTTTCATCTTTTCATTGAGTTTAATATATAAACTTCAAAAAAAAAAATTGAAGCTATTATGGATTAAGGCATTGTTTCAAAATCGTATTGATTCTGAGTGATTTTTTTTAAAGAAAACTGCAAAATATCATTGTTAGATTATATATTTCCACATTAAATCAATTTGGAATTATTACAATAGATTGTTTTAAATTTTATTTGCAAGGGACGAAATGGCTTTTGTTCATTTTATTCTTTTGTGTAGTGAATTGCTTTTTTTTTATCAGAAACTTCCTATACATTTCTAGGAATATGATTGGTTAAAAGTGGAGACCCTGTATATTTAGTTTGTAGGTGTGGTTTATTTTAATACATAGCTTGTAGCTATAGTGGTGTTACGTCCCTTTATAAAAACATCAAAGCGTTTAGGACAAATCTGAAACGTTTTACCCAAACATCAGATGAAGAAATTGATGATCAACAATTGAAATAAATTCATAAAATACATTAAAAGCTAACAAGTTGTTATTGTTGGCATTTATTTTTGTATGGACCAATGGATGTAGGTTCTTTATATTGAAGACTTGATCACTTTGATAGGCCACTAGTCTAAATGCCACTTGTGAAGATAGTCAGTAAGATAAATTAGTTACACAGTGTGCTAGTGACTTAATACAATATGTAAGGGGCGAGGGCTTCAGATGAAATTTATTGACCCCATATATATCGTATTAGGTCACTAGCAAACAGTGTAACTAATAGTATTCTCTAATTTTTTCACTTTTTTCACATTTCCCAACCGATTGTGAAAAAAATTGTTCTCCTCACTAGTGAAATGTCTGTTCTCGGCAAATGATTGGTAGAAATTTAATTATGATGTCAAATTTTCTTGGTTTCTTCAGATTTTTCTTTTGTGAGGTCATGAAAAAAGGCGACCATGCCTGATGATGTCACATATAAGGAACACAACTTTCTGCAAATCTTTGGAAAAGGAAGGATAAAAATCATTAGAGAAACAGATTCCACCACTATAACTCGTGTATTACGATATTACTGGTGGGATCTATATTTCTTGTATCTTATTTGTACATTGCACACATTTGTTTCAGTGTTCCGTGAGTTGTGGAGAGGGTATATGGTCAAGGAAGGTGGTCTGTAAAAGTAAAGGTCGTAAAGGAGTCAGAGGTAACAATGTAATACCAGACGATAGTTGTCATGGCATCAAACCTAACATTACAGAATCCTGTAAGAAAGATGAATGTCCACCAGAGGATCAGTTTGAATGGCATTTGTCACCATGGGGACCAGTAAGTATGGTGACCATTGCCATTTTCAAATTCAAAATATTGTCAACTAATGGCCTTTCATTAATTTTTTTAATTTCATTTACATTCAGGTGTTTGCTCATTGTTTTTTCTGATATACAGACTTTGAAATTACAGCTTTTTTGCAGCTATTTCAAATTGTGCTTTTGCTTTGAAAAAATATTTAATCCAAAAAGTTCATGAAAGTTTAGACCAATATACTGGTAGTTTATTAGTTTATCTTTTAATTTGCTGTATAACTATGGAAGGATACAAGTAATTTTATTTTAGGATCCCATATTGTATTCTTTCAAATGGTAAATGGAACAAAAAAAATATGTATTAAATTCACACTTTCAACATTAGATCTATTGTCTTCGTGATAATAGTAATTAACCTATTTTATTGACATGATGTCTTAATACTAGCTGATCAAAAGAGAAACATAAAAAAAAGTAGATAAAATTTTATACAAGATTTTTATTAATATTCACAGAGATTCTGAAATTAATATTTGATAAATTTCAAATGGGTTTTTTTTTTTAGGCATACAACAAAAAATAGAAATACATAAACACTTTCTGATTTTAAAATGCTAAGAATTTCCATCTAAGCCATTGCATAGTAAGGATAGTCTAAAATAGGCTTTTTTATGCATTGCTTATTACATACTTCATTTGCAATATTATTAGACTGTACAATGCTTGCTTCACTAATTTTCCTTTTTGAATCATGCCATTATGCATTTTAACAGTGTTCTCAAACTTGTGGAGACGGTTCAAGATCACGTTACCTGAGATGTAAACAAATTATTGGTGATAAAGTTCAGGAGTTGTCCAGTAACAGGATGTGCTTTGGCTTGGACAAACCTGATGTTGCCATGGTAGAATCATGCCACCTTATGCCATGTCCGGTAGCTTATGTCTGGTTGCCACAGTGGCACACAATGCCATGGTCACAGGTCTGCTTTTTTGTATTGACAAGTTATTTTCAATATAGTTGTGCATTGTTAGGTGATATTTCCAGTCTTTCATGTTCTTTTCAACATTATGTGATGTTCATATATAAAGTATTAATGTTTACAAGAAAAGAAATGTTTTTGAAATTATGACCACAAATAATGCTGAATTTTTCAACCTTAAGCATTGCTTTTCCATACTGCAGAATTTCCATTCAGAAAAGCTGATACTGCTTATTATGTGCTAGTCATGTTTTAGCATGCTTTTTAACCCAGCTGGGATTATAGTTCATTTGTATGTAATAAACATGTTTTTGTCATATTACATACCAGCTGTATGTTGAAAACCATTAAGTGTTAAAGAAAAAAGCTGTCTTGAAGTTTTGAGAATATTGTATAATGTATCCCTTATTATCTTTGTACATTTCATTAATATATTTTGAAAACATCAGAGTACATAGAAAGTAAAAATCAAACCTCTCATGGCTCCTGTTTTCTTATATGTTTTGTGGGATGAGACATAAAAGACAGAAAAAGGGAGCTATGAGAGGTTTGATTTTAATTAGACTGAGGGCATATATACATACATGGCACCAAGAGAAGGTGCCTTGAAATTGTTTTACTATGTACATTAGACCTGATTGAGCTTGAATCTTTGAAACTACAGAACTGATAGACTTTTTTATTTAAAGGTTATCTGTGAATCATTACTTCAATAAAACTGCATTACATATAAATGCCAATTTTTAATTTAATGATAGACAAGAATTATCATTATTTTTTTTAGCTGTTCAAAATTTTTTCAAAAAAGCTGCTCATGTTTTGAGAATCAACTTATGGTTTGCCTCTATACTTCATTGGTTAAAATGGGTTAAAATTCAATGATGAGGTGAATGTTCTATCCATTCTGCTGTTGTGACAGAATAAAAGCAGAAGCCCATGTCTAATGATGTCACTCATCGAAAACACTATTTATTTTTATAAATCTCCAGATATATCAGCTAACACTCATCATAGAAACAGACTCTTCTTCTGTTTAGTGTCTTATATTTTATTTTTTTTTAAGTTAAAGTTTAGATATTTAATCACTTGGCAAGTTCTATCCATTCTGCTGTTGTGACAGAATAAAAGCAGAAGGATATGTTGAATCCATATTTGCCATTTCTGGAGGAAATGCCTATAATGATGTAGTTCTTTAAGCAATGCCCAGTCAGGTGAGAATAATTGTGGAAAATCTATGCATGTTTTGGGTACTTACTCCCATTTCTCCATATAGGTTTTTATGGTGATTATTAATAGCAGATGTTTAATGATGTTTTTACACTGAAATTTTGAAAGTGGTTTCCATAGTTTCAAACTGCCTTCACTGAGAATTTGAAAAGACATTATTACTGGCAGAAGTCAGCTATATTTTCTATTATCTTGAATATATTTCATTATTGTTTATGAATTTTAGTGTTCTGTTACTTGTGGAGAAGGAGAACAGAGACGTCAGGTTCGTTGTTTGAATATGAGGAATGAAGATGCTTTAGGATGTGAAATAGATAAACGACCTTCAGCCTCTCAGACCTGTAAATTACAACCATGTAAACCCAAAGAAGTTTATCGTAGTATGTATATTAATGATGCAATACTCACAAACCTTTACTGTAGAATGCTTTGGGTTTTTTTGGAGGGTAAGGAGGGGGAAGTCTTTACTGAATTTTTCCTGTGAAATGTTAGATTAAAGACGATTTCAAACTTAAGTAAATGATAGAGGGTATAGGAAACATTTAAAAATGTTAACCAAATGTTCATAACGATTTATGTTTTAAAAAAGTAAGATAAAATAAAATAGGTAAATGGAAACTCCCTACACATTCCTTTATAGAACTGTAATTTTTTAAAACATTAATAACATAAAACATATTTTTTTCTTAATTTAGATGAAAAACATTCCTCTCAAAACTTGTATATTTTATTAGAGATCTAGACTGATTGTTATCAGCTATTTTACAATCCAAGATGGTGTAAAATTTATTTGAAAATAGATTGATAAATAAAGTCATTATTTTGTGCCCTGCTTATGAGAGTGGAGACACATTCTGTGTTACAGTCTGTGTTTTGCCATGTACTGCTTTGTTATGATAAAGTTAAACTTTTTTGTTTAATATAAAAATAAGAAGATGTGGCATGATTGCCAATGAGGTAAAGATCATGAAGTTGCGGTCTCTTCAACTTTAAATTAAGTACACATGTTCATAATGATATGAGCTTTTGAAAATAAATTCCAATTTAGGGTTTTGGCCAAGATTTAGCCATTCATTGAACATGGAAATGTAAGGTATGGTGTCCTATTGACAGGTATGTTGTTAAAATTGGCTTTTTTTATGAAATATGTATTTACATTTTTACTGTCTACTGTATTTCAGATTTATTATGCTCATTTCAATTTCAGAATAAAGGTTATTTGTGTCTCTGATAATAAAAAGAATTAGACATGTAAGTAAGTTTTCCTTGCTGTATTTTCAGGTCCAGTTTGTGAAGACAAATATCCTTGGTGTCATCTGGTACGAGAACATAATGTGTGTAGACATCATTTCTATGGTAGTAACTGTTGTAAAACTTGTCATGGAATAGCTATCAAGTATCGTACATAATGTTTGTCAAGGTCATTTCTATAGGTGTCGTAAGACTTGTCCTGGAATACTTGTCAAGTATCATACATAATATGTGTCAACATGGAGTTTGAGAGCACAATGCGTGTCCATATAATTTCTATGAGAGTAACTGTGTTAAAACCTAGAATTGCTGTCACGTATCGTACATAATATTTGTCGAATAATTCCTATACAAGTTACTGTTGTAAAACTTATCTTGGAATAGCTGTCAGGTATAATTCATAATGTGCCTCAACATAATTTCTCTGCGAGTAACTGTTGAACAAATTTAACTGAGTATCATACATCATGTGCATCAACATAGTTTTTGTCAAAGACATTGAAGTATAGCATCGTAGAATCTGTCCAATATGAGTACATTGTGGCCTTTGATCACATGGTCCTCTTGTATTTGCAACATGATGATTAGGAAATCTTACTCATTAAACTCATTTTGTAGTGAATGTGATTGTACATATTGGTTAGGATTGATTTTTTTATTATGATGGAAACATTAGTGAAATTTATTTCTCTTGTCATAATCCACTAGTGTTCCTTACCAAAATGTATTTAACTTTCAAGTTTTTGATATTTTATAAGCATGTAAGTTAAATTTCATAATCATCAAAATGAACATTATGAAGCATTCATTCAGTGTTATTGTCTCTGCATTTTGTAATGTAAATTTATACTTTCTGTCAATATTTTATCAGAATGTTGTTATTTTATTTTTACATACTTGTGATGAAATATATGCATGTTATATATATGTACTAAAATAGCTCTTAATGTCATTCAGGCTGGTCTGTTTAATTGAAAGTGTTCTACAAAGTCTTAGTTTATGCATAGTGAAATATTTAACAAGGCCACTTTTGAATATGTAAATGATTTTGGGTACCCATGATTCTTTTCATTGAAGAAGCACTTAAAATCTGGCCAATTATTTACAAATGTTTTGAGGACATATAGTGAAATCTGACATTATGAAAGTTGGCTATTTTTTTAGGTTCCTTTTTGGTTATAGAATTTAAGATGTGTAGGTCTTATACATCCAAATGGCTTTAAAATATTTAGGTTAAACTATTCTGGTGAAGGTAAATCAAGAAAAGTACTTTGGACCCACTTAATTAATAAAGTAATATTTCATTTCAATGCTACAAATTTCAATCAGTTTTGATAAAAGTATTCATATCTGTCCTTCAGTTTCCTGAAATACTTATATTGTTAGCATATTTATATGCTTTTAGATGAGATCAAATAATTACTGGGTATTTATACTTTAAAGAATTTATCGGTACAAACATTACACTTTAAATGAAAAAATATCAGGTGATTGAATAATACTAGAATTGATAATATAGGACAAAATTTATGCTTCTGTTGGTTTGTTATGACCATTTTAATCTTAAAACTTCAGTTCATTCCATTATCATTTTTACAGTGATGTTCTGAAATATTTTTCATTTTAGTTTATAGCCATGTAATTATACATTTTTAAGAATATGGCTATAAAAAAACACTAGTGAAATACAGAAGAGAGTAAAAGCATGCTCAACATTTTCAGAAAATAAGTGTACAATCTTCTATGAATATTTTACAAATAATAATTTTAACAATGTCTAGTTAACTTGTCTACTGTGGATTCATTTATTTTCGTGGGTACCAATTTTCGTGGATTGAGGAAAACTAGCATTTTCGTGGATATTTGATTTCGTTGTTTTAACAAAGTCTGCATACATTTCTTCAGAAAACTTGTACATTGAAATTCGTGGTTCTCCTGTACCCACGAAATTAACGAAAAATTTGTATCCAACGAATAATAATGAATCCACAGTATGCAGTGATATGAAAAGGTTGTATATGATAGTGCTGTACTTGCTGTAAATATTTCTTTTTTATTATTAGAGCTGTGATAATTTTAAAATCACTTTTAAGTAAAATGATTTTACATTTTTGTTATATTTATTAACAGTAAGAGTTCTGTTTTTGTAGTTATACTGTTTGTATAGTTAATAGTTTTGGACCATAGAAACGGTTAGTAAACAAGTTAGAATTGCATGATTTTAATAGCTTGGTGTAATGTCTGTAGCCAATGTTCAACCTATCTGTAACATTCTGCCCTATTTTTCAAGTACAACTAAAATGTGAAAGACATATCAATAACAGCAGTACACTTTAGTGGGTGAATCTAATCATGTAAAAAATATGTCATGTTAAAGATACACATGTGGACAAAAAAGATGGAAAGGATATTTTTTTTAAATTATATGACTGCTATTGCAGATTAGGTTGAAGTTAAAATGCAATGTTTAATTTTTCTCCATTGTTAATGCATTCTTACTACTTAACTGGAACTGAAAATTCTGCAACTACTTCTTAGCATCTATTTATGAAAAAAGTATACTGAAATTTGTAATAAAATCATTTATAACAGTTAAAGATTTGATGGACAAAATTTGGGATGAAAACAGTTATGATCACATCTTCAGTTTGCTGTAATTTTTTGTAGGTAAAATTACTGTCAGGGATCAAGTCACTAACAGTTGTCATGGTGTTACATACTAATGAAAGTCTGTCGTTGATAGAATATGTTCGTTGTTGTTCTGCGGTTTGCATGTCGACTATTATATTATTTTTTTAACATTGTCATAAAGCGGGAGGTTTGGGTAGCCATTGAACCAGGTTCAACCCACCACTTTTTTTCTTAAAATGTCCTGTACCAAGTCAGGAATATGACAGTTGTTACCAAATAGTTTGTTTCCATGTATGTTGGCGTTTGTTTTTGTTGCACTTCAGTGTTCCTGTTGTTCCTTTGTTTTCCTCTTATAGTTGATGTGTTTCCCTCAGTTTTAGTTTGTAATCCGGATTTGTTTTCTCTCAATCTATTTATGACTTTTGAACACCAGTATACTACTGTTGCCTTTATTTATCTGTCCATTTTATCTTTTTTATGCTTTCAATTTATTCGTTACTGTAGACTCCTGTATTTTCGTGGATTGAAGAAAAAATCTATTTTCTTTGATTTTAGATTTTGTGGTTTTGTCAAACTCTGCATTCAAGCCTTTAGAAAATGTGTACTTGGTTAAACATTTAAATTCACCTATACCCGCAAATTAAACGAAAATTTATGAATCCATAGTCTGTGAAAATCAAAAAGTAATGTTTGTTGATGGCCAGTTTGCTAGACCTAACAGTTTACATGTTATACAACCTTTGTAATGTGATTGTAACTTACCTCAAACTGTACAGATTGTAAATAAAAATATAACAGATGTTATCACTTTGCCTACAACTTTGATTTATGCCGTTATTTTAATCAATGAACACTCTTTCAATTTACTAATAAGAGAGGTGAAAGATGCCAAAGGGACATTTAAACTCTAAGTCGAAAATAAACTGTCAATGCCATGGCAAAAAAAGAAAAAGACCAAAAGACGAATAACATTATACAAAACACAACATAGAAAACTAAAGACTGATCTACACAAACCCCACTTAAAGACAGGGGTGATCTCAGGTGCTCCAGAAGGGTAAGCAGATCCTGCTCCATATTTGACACCCGTTGTGTTGCTCCTATAAGTACAAACATTGAAGGGATGATTTCAACTTCACCATTCGAACTCTTGATTTAATATCTTCATCATACGAAGCTTGAGCAGCAACCCTCTATCAAGGAAATCATGACAAGAAAAGCAAGCCCTGGAATACCGTATCAACTGGGAGATATATACTCTATTATGCTGCTGGGATGCTGCTGCATAGAAATGGAAAGTTCACAATTTGGAAGCTGAAAACTTCTTTTGTAGACTTAACTGTATTGGTGTATCCCTTTATTTCAAGTTCGATGGGATAATTGCGTAATATAGTCACCAAACTTTGAATTATTTAGTAATAGGACATCATCTATATAGCGGAAAGTGAAGTGAAAGGATAATGCTGGCCTCTTTTCATTCTTCCTAGGAAGCTCATGTATGAAGCCAGCCTCTTATAAATAAAGGAAAAAGTCGACAAGAAGAGGAGCAAAGTTGGTTCCCATGGGAATGCCGAATGTTTGTTGAAAAAAACAAGTCTTCTATGTTGTCAATCATTATCAAGCATCTTGATGATGTCTGTTTCAGAGATTTATTTGTTTGAATCCGAGTGGTTTTTTGCAAAGTACGATTTATCCCTCCCTAAGACAAAATATTTGTTTCTACGTTGGCTATTCTTGTTTTATAAAACAAAGTAGGTCCAACTCTTTCAATTTGTCTTTTAGTTTGGAATGGGGAATACTTGTGTAAAGTGTAGAAAAGTCAAATGTTTTAATACTATTGCAAGATATAAGAGTCTATTGTACTCTTAACAGATCTTTGGAGTTTTTTAGTATTCATATCTGATTCACGCCACCTCTAGAATAGGTAGTTTCACAATAACTTTGAAGCCCGGCTTTGATTGCTGATAAAATTGATATTTATAATTGGTTTCTAAATTATAAAGAAGACCCAGCAATATACCGTTGTTTTAAGTATGTGATTTAGGTATCCAGTACAATGAAGGAAGATCCAGTTCTTCATCTTTTGTTGAAATTCTAAAGGAACATAGAACAGGCCTATGATTATCCAGGATTAACTCCTTGGTAAATGTTGTGAGGGTATAAGTTGAGTTTCCAAGTGAGTTGTTAATACCTAATTCATTTATCAAGCTGTTTATGTATGTAATAAGATTTACACACAAAACGATGTTGTTCTGGGCTTTATCTGCGGGAACAACAACATATTTGTCATGTAAACATTCCTAAATGCAACAGAAATAAATGAAAATAGAAAAAGTATCTCATAACCATTAAATTTTGCTGCATTTGTGTGACAACTCTGGAGACTAAGTCCAGGTTAGTTGTATATTGGCTAGATGAATGGACATTATATCAGGAATTGCATATAAATGTACCAGAAGTCTGCTAGTACAAACGTACATATAATACTTTCTGAATAGAAAAACTAAATTCATCAGATGGATGATGATTTTTATCAGACCAAGATTTTAAATATCAGGAAAAAAATAGCTACAGACTGGAGGATCGTCTTGATAATTAACCTACAGGTGCTGTTTTATATTAAAGGAGTAGGGCCACGAATGTTAAAAAAATGCCCTGTCTCAGAAATTGACGAAATTACTGCAGAAGGATCACTAACTAGTGTAGTTTATAAAACGATAACCATTAGACTTGTAATTGTGTTTGTATAATTTTCCAGGGCGTCAGAAAAGACCAGGGTACAATGGTATTTTAGCCATTTGCGTGTAACGTTAAAATTGTTTTCATTAACGTTCTAGTAACTTTATAATCAATTTACCACATAATTTGTTTACAAAATTTTTCTTGAATCTCGTCCATATATCTTGTTTTCTTAACTCTATCAACAGAAACTTACTAATATTAAGGTTTAAGCTGCACATTAGCGCTTCAATGAAATTTTCATAAGTGACCCGAATACTCGTTTTCTGTATTGATATTCACGAAATAGAAATTGCAGAGACTATGTAAACAAATATAATTCTATAGCATAGATTAAATTAAAAGTCATAAAGGATTTTAAAACATAAGCAATGAATGTTTTCTACTGGGCAGAAGGAATTTAGATTGAAAGCTTTAAAATATCTTGGCGAGCGAAGTACAGCGAAGTACTTCGTGGCCATAATCCTTTAGGCAACAGTAGTTTATCGATGTTTAAAAGGAGCGAGACAGCGTGTGTCGACAGGATACCTTTCACCTGCTATGCATGAATCATCCGACTTACAAATCCATACTCTGTCAAATATCACAATCGGGAATCGGAAGCAATCAGTAAAGTTTCAGATCAGATAAGTATTCTGGTCGCTGATGAGTCAACTGACACATGAACCCATCGTATTGGTCAACCAATTCGTAATTGTGATCATAAAACGTATGTTATGTCGATTTTATGCGTGCCTCCTCACATCTCTGTTGGATCAGTTTCGTGTAAGGAGCACACTCCTGTTAATGAAGGTATTATGTCGTTCCAGCCCCAAACCAATTCGGCCCTAATTCGATCCGGGCCCAAATTGATCCGTCCCAAGTTGATTCAGTCAAATCTTTCCGTCCCAATAGTAAAATAATGAATAATTATTATTATCAAAATCGAGGGTTTTGTGATATATGTGATCCATGGTAAGTGGATGATGATTAATGACAACAGGTAAGTTTGTCTATTATTGGCATATTTATATGATTTTAAATCGTTTTGGAAAAGGAATATAATTGGTACTGTTTGTAAAGCAACATTATTGGTTTAAAGTTATTTTTCATGATTATATATAGTTTTTACTTAATTCTCACTTTTACGAGATAAGGAGATATTTACAATCAGCTGAAATATATATTATGTAATCATCGCAACAACATATTTCAATATTTCTCAATTTGAGTAATTCTTATAGCTTAAAAAAAAGTTTGTATGCATCAGCTTGGGGATCGGATTGTTTAGCTGTGTGTGTAACTATTTGTTATTGCACCGTTAAGATTAAAGTCATTTGAAAAATTGCTGATTAATGTTGATAAATGTGATTTTGTTGATGATACTAACTTCTGTAATATATGTTTTAAGTAAAATAATTCATGCACAATTAGTCATGATTACTTCTAATAAAATCATAATCATCATAAATGTTTAATACAGCGGAATCTCCCGTACTTATTTAAGGTAATAAATTGATTAGAATATTAATATTTTACATAAAAAAAATAGTGTATTTCGATATGAAATCGTAATATAAATATTTTTGTTTAACTTCCAAAGTAATTTCTCCTCTAGATATACATTCGAATATGCGTCAAAGGCAAAATTTTGATCGTCCACCTTTCTGTTATTCATAAAATCCAATAATGTTCATGAACTACAAGTTAAATACATATAATTTTTATCCCTTGTAGAAGCATTAGTTATATTGATAAGTCACCTTCTCTGCTGTAAAACAGCGTGAACCCGAATCTTACCTTGTCAAGGGGACTACTTTCATGTCTTATTTGAATCTTCTTTAGTCATTTAGGATTTCCAAAGTCAACTATCGAATAAATGGGAGAAGTGTATCCTACTTTTGATTTTGAATATTTCCTTTGTCCACGTTTCCTGATAATCCCGGCCAAAGATATGTATTAAAAGTGAAAAGACAGACTAAAGATTCTCTTCAGAATTTAAAGTATTTAACTGCTTTATATTTTGCTTTTATTTTCCCAAAGGGTTCCTATGTATCAACATAAAGCTGTTTCTAAACCATGTCTTCGTTCTTTGTGATGATATCTTCCGGTGCTTTATCACTGAGTGGAATTTTGTTGTAGTCATTAAGTTTATATTCGAATTCATATATTTGATAATATGTAAAGTAACTGTACATAACAGTCGTCCCTGATTCGAACAACTCGTTTAGCGAAATTTGCTTTAGTTTCATTGTAAGTGTAAAAGATGTACACATCTCAGATTTCAGATACTGTTTCAATAGCCTGCTATCATATTCACCACAATGGTTCGGGCGAATCCATTCTAGCGTTTCTTCCTTTGTTGTTTTATTCTTTAGAACACCCACAAATACCCATTAAATGTATCAAGGACTATCAGTAAATATCGAATACTTCAATTTTGTTTCTGATTATTATATACGTTGGCTAAATCTGTGTCCAACAAATAGTATAGTCCTTGTGAAGTGAATCCGCTTAACGACCTAACGAGACGTTAGATACTATGATTATTTTGGTCTTTGATTTTGTGCAGACCTATGATGTATCATTTCTTCGTTAGTAAATTTTAATTATCGTTGGTCCAGAAAAAACAGATCGGACAAGATGTATCGAAAAATTTATTTTGCAGGTATTCCATCCAATGCTCATCGACAAAAATTAAACAACACATCATTGATTATTCAGTATGATCAATATCTGGGTTAATGAACTATTTCGCAATCTGTTCTATTCAAGACCCAGCAGTCTACATGTAACATAAATTTCGCAATGATGAGCTGTGTTACTGCACATCATCTTGAATTATTCTGTATATATATGATATATACCCACCACAGCGCCACATTTCATACAACCGTTATATTGAATTCCGTAGTGACATAACATAATCCTTTCTCCACAATATTGCATTCCGTAGTGACTTTATGTATTCAATTTTCTGCGTCTTGCATTAAATTATTTGCATTTTGCATTCAATTCTCTTTATCTTGCATTCAATAGTGACGCCACACATTCCTCAACCAATGATGTATTGCGCCCCAAAGATG